CTATGATGAGATTTGATATAGTACGATGTAATAGGATTGCACTGGTTTTTGATATAAAATGATGAGATGTAATGTGATGTTTTGTGGAAGGCGTGATGTTTCCATATGATTAGTTGCGGGATGTGCTTAAACTAGCAATTTTCGCGTGATGTATTTTAGAGAAGTGATGTCATGTGTAATTCACAGCATTATGATTGATGGTATTTTCAGAAATTCGGCTTATGAAAGAATGATTTGATTTTATGTAATATGTGAAGTATCGCAGTGATAAAATTTTATTTGATATGATGATGTGATTTGTCGGATGCCAAATGATATTTTAGTGTGAAAATGAAGGCATCTGTTCTTTTAGTCCATAATTTTATAATATAATTAAAACCATTCGGGAGGAAATTTATTGAGATATTTGATCTCGATTTAAATTTTTATGTTATTTATTTTATTCTGATTTCTAAAATATTTTTATATTTTTCAAAAACCTAAATACTGCCTTATATTAACTTGTACTCCAAAATAGACACACTAGAACAGTACGCAGATTATAAATGTTCAGTTTGTTTACCCGAGCGCATTTCAGTCTCTTTCAACTGTCCCATTGTCTATGTGCCCACTTATCACTCGAAATCATCTGCCTATCAGCAAAATGCACTAGAAATACAGCATAGCTTTTCGGAAGATTTGTGGGATTCAAATTAAGTTGTTTTGTTCGTAAATAGAGACGTTAGTTACTTTCGGTTTTCAAATTGATCAGCAGCTCGAAGAGCTTGAGTATTTAGAAATGAATTTTAATCGAACGGATTCGTCACAACGCCTGTTGGTCGATGCAAAACTTTTGGTTTGACTATTAAGGTGAGCGAGTAGCGGGCGACAGTTCACTCTTTGCAGTTGATTTCAAAGTTTTGCAGTGAAAATTAATTAACGAAAAAAGAAACATAGCTGATTGATGTTAGGATAGCGTTCTTAAAGGTGTCCTATTTCGTTTTACAACTATCGCTTGGTAACCAATTACCACAAATACGCCCCATCAGCCGCCAGGCTAACGACAGTAGCAACAACGCGAAAGTTGAAAGCACAATTCGAGGAAACAAAGAAAAGACCAGCTACCAAATACAGCAAAACACGCAAAATAGTTGTGTTGTGAACTTTTGCAAGCGTGTGAGGTAATGCCTGTGCAACACCTAATAGCGCCGCACATTGCCGTCAGCGACGTCAGAGCCGTCAGTAGTAGTGATATATTGATTTTCATGCCAATGTGGGCTCTAGCGCTGTAGTTACGTACCTCGTGTGCGGCTTTGCCCGCAGCGCCATTAATTTGAGTGTTGGCTTTAATGCGCGGGTGGAGTGGTGTGAGAACTAGGCCAACAACAATAGTGGTAGTAATGAGCTGCAAAAGTACTTAGATTACTCGTATCAACTGGGTGTTGATCAAAAGCAGCTGCAGGATGCGTTGATTACGGCCAGCAGCCTTTTGCACTAATTAAAATGCACAGCAGCAGGCAGCAGACACAAGCTTTAGATTACTGCGGCAGCTGCAAGCGTTTAATTCCTCTTTTAATTCACACAAACACTTTATTTGTTATATACTTCATTTATTTACTCTATCAACTATTTTTTTATTTCAGGATCCGATTCGCCACCTCCACTGCAGCGGCACGTTTAATCAAGACACCTGTGCCCAGTGACGTTTCCGAAGATGGACTTCCCAATGAAATTTCCGCACCATATGAGTGACCACAATTCCCTATCGAACAAATTGAGAAGAAATTACAAATCCAGCGGCAATTAAATGAGGCATACCTTCAGGTAGGTTTCTTAGTAGCTTATATATTGTGACGAATTTGCGGTAATTATTTATAATACGACCTAAAAAACTCGAAATATTTAGTGACCATGGTTTGAGATTTGCATAGTGGGTTTGTTTTATTGATTTTCTTCTTTCGCAAGCCGATAGATTTATTATATTAATTACTCGCTTACGTTATATCAATATCAGCCTAAATGTAGGCCACGTTTTTTTTGTAAATATATAAAATATAATTTTTTCCTTATAACCAATTAATATAAAATTATGTTCGCTTGGTTCCTTCTTTTAGAATGCATTTGACCATTACTTAAGTAAGAAATTATCTGTTGGTCCCACGCAAATATTATATTGAAAAGTTATCGGTTAGCAACTCTATACAGCCAAAAGCACATGCTTGGCTTAAAATCTATATGAAAAACGAGGCTAACACCTTTTCTAGCTGTTTCCTTTTTTATCATTAATTTAAACTGCTTTACCTTATTATTAAAATTAGAATTATACTATTGGAAATGTTGTATAAGAAATATGTTTCCTAGTGTTCAAGTCCACCTAAATATATACAATATAAAAATTCCATTTATCACATAAAATGTAAGAATTATCGATTTTTCGTACATATGTATTTATGTGTCTGATATATGCACCTTCTTGCTATTTCTAAAATTTCATTCAATACACGAAGGTATATCTGTATATGTAGGTTTTATTATTGCCAAATCGTGCGAAATTTATGCAATGAATTGTTTGCATTAGAGTCAAGATTTTGATATTTATACGATAATTTGTTAAATTCATTGACAGATACACACAGACAATTAATGTTTTTATTACATTTCCACTATGGGAACAGTTTGATTACATGCCAAAATATTACGGTGTTTACAGATCTTGCCTTGCCATTGTCTATCACATTTGCTTTATTTATTGTGTAGGGAATATATTCGGCTATTAAAGTTGTGAGAAATATTGCTTTAAAAATTTCTGAGATTGTGTTGCTAAGAGATAACCGTTCTTAAGGATTAGCCGAAGAGGAATTAGTTTTGTTGGTTTGAAACATTAGGTGAAAGAAATGCCCATGAAGGACTCTTAACACGGCGTCTTGGCAAGTTTATATTTTTCAAATCATTAAAATATTAAAAATGTAGCACATCCATCATAACAGTTTGTGTTTTTTTTTTACGAAATATTTCTTTTACATTTTGGCAACTGTCTAAAACTAGAATTTGAAAATAAAAATTGGAACCGGACTGACAAAAAAAAACTTAATTTTCACTTATTTTAGTACAAATATTTATTATCGAGTTCAATTTGCTCCTGATAGCAATACAAGCTTGCCAATAATTAAACCAATTTTCCATACAATTGTTTTAAGCCTCGACGAAGTTGGCTTTCAGTGCCTTCAGCGATTTTGTGTTTTCGGTTTTAGCTCATTTTTGGAGCGCCATTCGTTAGATTGTTGGACAGTCTCGACGTCATATTCATAAATCCATATCTTACCACCAGTAATAATGCGTTTGAGGAAATGAAGGATTTTCAGCTACTTTTTCAAGCATCTCTTTGCAACCGCTTCTCGATCTTGTTTTTCACAAAAGATTCAGATTTTTTACTACGGTTCGTTAACAGAGGTGGATGTACGACTCGCATAAGGCACGTTTTCAATGACTTCACGATCATCACTGTATGCTTTGTGCCACTCAAATACTTGTGTTCGTGATAAAGTAGACTCTCCAAGACACTGTAGCAACATTTTTAACGCTTCCGTAGCCGTAATTTCATTGGAAACACAAAATTGTAGGCAACCTCGTTTTTAAATTTTTTATGTTAAAAATCGGCAGTCAAATGTGATCAGATGGTAGATTTGTTCATCTGGCTGCTCTTTGTAACAGCGTAAAATATTCGAGGTATCAAAATATAAAGATATAAAAGTCTCAGACTTCAGTTGATGCCTTCTTAACAGCGCAGACTCAGAAATTTAGAATATGGGGGTTGCACGTTGTTATCGGAGAAATTATAATGCGGCACCAAAAGTCTAACAAATTTTATGAGCAACTTTTCGTGACAGGATTTTGCCATGGACAACCGTCAATTATCAAAAAACCAAAAAAAAAAATACTTTTTTGCCAAAATCGGTACAGATATTGAATTTAGACTTGTATAATAACATTATGCTACTCTTATCCCTATCGTCCTAACGTTCGGGTTTATGAACACAGACCAAACCAACTATTAAATGACAATCCAGCCAAGCATGATGGGCGGTCTTTTAGAAAGCAACCATCTTGCTTTAAAGTGTAAACTTAAGCTTCTAGTTTACGCCAAAATACAAGTGGCACAGCAAGATTCCTTTGAGTTTCATTTATCCGCTACACTTTATTTTTTTATTTTTCTTAATCAAAAAATTATTATGTAAATGCGTTTTGTGTTTATAAAGACATTCTCCAAAAACCGCTCAATTACTATTCAATTGTTTGGAAATAATTATTTCAGCATATGCAAACACTTTAGTGTGTTGTGCACAAGTTTTGGACATGGGTATCAAAATTATATGCCTATATGTACATACATATGTATACTTGTAGTGTCCGGTCTATATGTGGCTTCACTCCACTGCCGATTTAGTGTCTCCTGCCATTCAGTTAAGCACTCACCCACCATATATCATAAGTGCTGTCATATAACACCGTCAGTCGACATTGGCAGCTAGTGTTCACATATACATACATATGTATGTGTGTATGTATGTTACATACATATATCTGACTGCCGAATAAGGGTGCATTAGTGGCGGTGTGTGCACTCGAGTGCGTTCCGTATTCAAAATTTGTCGTAATTCTTAGTTGTCGAGGTGTTATGACCGTGTTCCATTCACGAGCACATACCTAAAGAAATGAGTGAGTAGAAGCTTAGTTATGTGCTTGCGCCAGTTGGTGTAATTTCGCGACACATCATCATTGACAACCATCATCCATCAGTGTTTGGTTTGGTTTGACAGTTTTTTTTTTTTTACAGAGTTCTATGCCGCTGAAATATGCGAGTACCTGCACCTGTATAGATTGCAGTGCATATTTGCATGAACATACATGTTAATGAATCTATACATAAATGTATGTACTCGTATGTACATATGTGTGTGTTTCTATAACCTGGGCCTGTTTGTTAGCCGCGTACAACCCACAGATTAGTTATATGTTGTTTTAGTACGATTTTTGCATTCAAATGATTTGGAACGCGGTGTCCGCGTTCTCGTTGTTCAAAACGTCCAATGTCGTTGCGATATTTGTAGACCCGGTTCATTAGTTGTTACCACTAATACAAATAACGTGCGCGCATAACCCGCATAACTTTACAGTTACCACCGACGTTGTTGTGCCAATCAAATATCGGTCGGTGGATTTGAAAAAAAAATAAATTAACACCGGTTGCTCGTCTTCATGCATTTAATTTGATAAGAAATACATAAAAAGTACTTGGATAACTAGAGATTACCTTGTTGTTAGGCTAGGCTTTTGAGGTAACAGACCTCTTCTTAAAAAGATATTACATCTCTTTGTTTCGTATATATATCTCGTTGGAAAATAATGCATATTCTTATTTGTTGTCTTTGTCTTCTGTTTACTACAGATTTTTTTTATCCCTTTTGGTAAGTTTCTAAGATGTAACGCGCCATCTATTTTGGCTTCGCTGAACCGACTGTCGTGAAAATGGAGTTATTTCGTATATATTTAAATAAATTCTCTTCACTTTGAGGTTTTATTTGAAAATTTACCTCAATAGAGCAAAATTAACCTTCTATTTGTAGTTGGGCAGAGTTTCCCTATATGGTGAATGCATAATTTTGCTGCTAACCTGAAAAAAATCCTATTTTCTAATCTAATTTCTAAATAAAAGTACATTTTTTTGGCAAAATTCGAATATATTATTCGAAAAAGTGGTCCTCGAGGGCGAAAATAGTGTGTCTGCATATAGCGATCTGCTAGATTTTCGAAATTATTTTCGTTGAAACGATTTGCTTCAAAATAGCCCTATGTTTCGAAAATTATTTATTGTCGCTAAATTTTACCTCGAAGGAATTGTTTTTAGGTCTGGGAACAGGAAAAATAGCTGGATGCAAGATCAGAAGCTGCGGTAGATGAGCAAGCGCTTCGAAGCCCAAATAGTGCAGTTTTTCTATAATTTTCATTGATGTGTGTGACGCTGTCTTGAAGAAACACTTTCTTCTTTTTTAAATGTGTCTTTTTTTTATCGACTACGTATTTGATACGTTCCAAGACTGCTATATAATAATCGCTGTGGTCTAAGCCCTACACTTAATAAGATTTTGTCATCACTAAGCGGGATTGAATTTATTGAAAATAGTAGAGGTTTATCGTATATTCTGCTGTTGTTTCTGGGATGGAGTTAGAATTGAGTTTTTATGGATCTTCAGTTTAATTTATTATTTATAAAATTTATTTGCATTGCTTGAGCCGATATCACATTTTAACAAAATCGTCAATTTTTCTAGTTTCCTCAGAATTATTCATCATATTCTTCTTGGGCCTTTTATGTTTCAAAGTCTCGAAATATGCCATGGAATCGAAATATTATTCGCGTTAATCATGTTCAGTCTAAAAGAGCACTTGCTGACAAGAAAGATTAAATTATTTGCATATTTCGAATTAGCAAAGACATGACATGAAGATTGACTAACTGATAGCAAACGACTTTTTGTTCTGATTGGGTTCAAAAAAATCCGAAATCTCTGTCATAAATCAAAATTTCCTTTACTACTTTCAATGGGATCAGAATGGTTATTTTCAACTTGTCTCAATAATACTTGTACTCTTTTATTCTTAAAACTCAAGTTAAATAAAAAAATTCCATTAGTCTGCACAACTTCCTTGAGTAGTTTCTCAAATTGCGTGCTTTGAACTTTTCGACTTCGTTTTCGTGTCGCACGAAACTCAATCATTCAATTACTGACATTTAAAGCGTGTGGAGGTCAACACCTTTTTCCCGAATTCCAGAAATTGTCAATTCGCTTTACACAAAAACTACAAAATGACATTCACTGTCTTAGGTCTTTCATTGAATGCAAGCATAGTCAGATGGTATGTTAGTTGGTTTGTCATTGTTTGCAAAATTGTTCTGAGGAAGTAAAAAATTGAGTGTTTGCCAGCAATTGTAATCCAATCATATTCGTATCTGTTGCTAAACGCCAGCTGTCTGTCTGGGCTGCGTGTACAAAATGGCACGTGGCATTTGCTTATCCTAGCAGTTACATCTTCTTGGCATTAGTTTTACAAAACAAAAATAAATAATAAATAAATAAAGTTAACAATAATAGCAATCGATCATGACATCTACTTAGCGTCACAACTGTCAATAATGCAATAAACCCAAAAAAAGGAATAAAAACAGTAATGCTTTTGCATACGACTCTGTGTGTCAAGAAATAGTTTTTGTGACACATTTGCCTCTGGGTTGTTTTATAGTTAATACTTGTAATCCTTTAGCGGTTGCGAGCAAAATATTGAACTAGTTTAAGTGTTTATACTCATGACATACGCAAGTGCCTTATTGCAACGGTAAATACCTAAGTAGTATATGTTAATGCTAAGACGCGTCTTAAACGTCGAGAATGTCTTTCGCCTGTGATACTTATAAATTTAAAACATTGGAAATATTCTACAGGTAAGCATACACGTTCTTTATGCGAATGTTAAAGAGTGTTGTGAATGTGAGAAATACAAATTTCCTTATCTTCCAATTTTATATCTAAATTAATTTTCTGAGGCTTTTCTATACAGTTGCTTTGAGAAAGTTCAGTTACAAAACTACAGTAGGTCTAGAAAAATGTATTATATAATATATAGGCTCTAGTAAAATAAAACCATTAATTATGCCAAAGATGGTTCAGTAATCTGTATCACTGTATCTCGCGATGTATTATTGCGATTGAGTTAAGCTATATGGCGTTAGAAATATAAGATTTCCCTAAAAAGAAGCATCTCAGACCGTTTTGTGATTGCTTGACTCAGTATTGTTTGAGGACGATGCAAAGATGGACATCAGCAAAAAGAACGCTTGTGGGTGACGGAAGCGTATGGTTAGTGAGAATAAAAAGAGGTTCATTTACAACAACGTTAAGGTACGTTTTTCTGTGTGTTTAGTGGAATTGGCAGGGAATCATCTATGAGCGGCTCCTCTGCACGCGCATTTTTCATTCGGACCTGTACTGTGAACAATTGTACCGTCTGAAGTAGGCTATCACGCAGAAATGGCCAACTTTGGCCAATAAGAGCGGAATTATGCTCCATCAGGAGAACAACAGACCACACAAATCGATAAGGATGCGCCAGAAGCTCCGGGAGCTTGTTTGGGATATTCTTATGCAGGTTATGTTTTTATAGTGCGAAAATGGCATAAGCTGATCACTATATGTTACTATCTATGGCGATTAATTTTGCTGGTGAAAAATTTGCCACAAGAGAAGTTAATCGAGAGTTCCATGAGATTGGGTTTATGAAATTACTTTCAAAACGACAAAGAGTACTTTTCCAACAATATTTTATATATAATCATAAACTACAACTCGGTAGGTGGTAAATATGATTTCAGGTGATATCCAAGGCTTTATTGGGTATCTTTTAATCTCAATCTCGAAAGATAATATTTTCGATGATAGCGTTGTCGTAACCTCCAATACCTAGTTATAAAAAAATTAGCTACTAAATTATTAAAACAAAACTGTTCAGTATTAAGATTATATTTCTTTCACTGCCATTTCTAAGTTCAGTATGAATAAGTTGACGATGATCTGATATTGATGAATCTGTCGTCTTTTTAAAGCTTTCTTCTCTTCCATTCTCATTATTGTTTCTGAGTTGCCAAGCTATATTTTATATATGATCGAATTTTTATATATGAAAATTGAATAATTTGAAGGAAAATCGAGTGAGAGCTTAAGCATATGAATGTAACGATTTTCTTTTTTTCGCAAAATTAATGCGAGCATTCATTAATATATATAATATTTATTTAAATATAACATTTTTATAAAAACAAAATTAATAAACTGATTTTTCTTTCGTTTTTTGTTTTACAGATCTGACAAGCATCAATCATTACTCACCGAAGAGAGTTTAATGACATTGGATAATTACGACGTAGAGGAACATGAATTGCCCAATTTTCAACGTGTTTCCATTTCCGGTGAGGATACAAGTGGTGTGCCATTGGAAGATTTAGAACGCGCTTCCACGCTACTCATACAAGCGCTGGAATTACGCGAACGTTATATGTTGCATTCTGGTCAGTCGTTCCCGACAACAACAAGACGGTTTCTAAAAACCGTGCACGAGCGCAATCGTTTCGGCACGATTGAACACGAGAATCGCAAGACCATTGCAGGTGAGTCAAGCTAATTTCGATTTGAAGCTAACGAAAATTCATTCAAAATGCTAGGTAGCTAGAAAAAAATATACCCAAATTTTATTGAAAGTTTTAGTATTTGAAATTTAATGTAGAAAAAGTAGTTTTTCTTAGAAAGTCCTACTTTTTAATTATTAAATAATAATATTATACTCGTATGTACCTATTATTTACACAAACAACTATTTCCGCTAATTTCTAGCAGTTTTAGAATTGAAAATTTAAATTTGGTAATTTATACAATTCAGTTTAATTTTTTTCTTACTCATTGTAAATATGTACAAAGCAAAATTGTAGGTTTTTTTAACCGTTTAAAATTCCTAAAATAACAGTTACACATACATAAATAAATGCCGCTATGTCGTGTCGTGTTTTGCCTATCGCACTGCAAATTCTTTCTTCTTCTTCTTTTTTATATTAATTTTCTTCTAAATGTACAAAATTTTCTCGAAAAATGTTTTTCTAAAATATAGAAAATGTGAAAATCTCGGTCTACTTTTAGCCACACATTTTACTTTTTATTTACTTTTTTCTATGATTATTTCATTATTTTGTTATTTTTGTGTTATTTTTTTATTATAATTATTTTTTGGAGCAAACAAAAATATGTATTTGATTTCCAACATTATTCTTTTATAGCCATAATACGCAAGATCAGCCTCCCCAGTACTCAGACAGGTAATTCGTTCGTTTATGCATTTCACCACTGCAGCGGGCGAATGAGTTGTGTCTTACTTTTGTTCTTTTTTTTTGTTAAATCTTTTTTTGTGACTTGCAAATTTTCGTTTCGATTTTCAAAATTTCATTGAACTGTTATCTCATTGCAAAACATACGATCATATAAATATCAATCACCGAAAGCCGGAATCGCTCTAAGATTTTACACGATTTATATATGTTGTAATGTGATTGAACTTGAAATAAAAGTATATTTGCATTTATTTTTGTTTTGTTTTTTATATTTTTTGAATTAATTATATTGTGTTTTTGAGTTATTATTTGCTATGTTTCCCTCACCCTATTTTGGAATTTTGCAATTTCCAATTGATTTGCACGCCAAATTTTGTCTGCTTTTAAATAATATATATTCTTTGTTCACCAATGTTTTAAAAGTGAATTTATTTTATTTTCTCGATGTAATGCTTAATATAATGATTATTGAAAACTTGTTTAGTTTTTAATATATACTCGGATAAATAAGTCATCTTCGCTTCGCCATTTCTGTGTTGTTTGTTCGAATCGCCAAACCCGGAGAGTCGGCAATAAATCCATTGGGTATCAAAAAGAATGAGATTATACGATTAATAGAGAGACTCTCTTATATTTAATTAGATTGTTTCAACGTAATTTTTTTTTAAGTGAGCGTGTTCAATAGCTCGTAGCGACTAGTGAAGTGGCGAATAGAAGATGGCTACTACTTGTACTTCTAAAAATTTGTAATTAATATAGTAAGCTCATAGAGCTTTAGTATATAGTATTTTGATCTTTAACAATAGTAGTCAAATAGTAATATGCTTCAACGTCGTAATGCAACAATTTTTGCGAAACTATAAACTTATATATATTTTCTATGAAACCGTTTTGCTGTTTTTAAATTAATCCAGTTAAAAATCTTTACAATATTGATTTCGATTTATGAGTATCGCATTGATATGAGTCTTTCAGTAACATGGCTGCATAATTTTAGGGTTAAGGCCAGTTTAGCGCCTACAAAAAACCCCTCAGTTTGAGATCTTAGTTTGGAATTCAGAAAAAATCAACGAATTCCTCTGATACAGAATTACAGCTTTTAGGCCAATCTTTGTGAAAATGTCAATGAAAAAAAGTGTGATAGTGTCAAGTCGATCGCTTCAGCCGTTACAGAGAAATTTTTCTCACCGTCTCTGAAAACAGAGTTTCGAGAAAAATGCTTTTAAAGTTTTGGGAACCCATTACACTAAGTTAAAAAAATCTAACGAATACGCTCATATCTCCCAAACTATTTGCCAGATCAAATTCAAATTTTCGGAGAACATTTTCAAAAATATGTATTGTACATTCGCTGTATAAGCAAAACAAAAATCGATTTTTTGAATGTGTATGTCAGGTGGATAATACCCTTAGGTAAAAAAATTATATTTGACACTGTTAAACCGACAACTCCGTACAATTTAAATCGTGTCTTTTCTTCGTAAAATGAAATATTTTTGAACAAAAGTATGTTTTCCAAAAATCATCTTCTATTGGTAGGTTCCGAAAATTTTTGCGCTGTTTATGATTGCTATCTTGATAGTACTATATTTCATACTAAATAAGTACTCAACCAGAATTATGAACTGGTTAGGAAATATCGCCCAAGCAACAATCGGGTCCAGTTTCCCGTTTGAACCTAAATATGGTATATGATGTCAAGTTTTTTCTGAATCAAATGCAAAATATAGTTCTATTAATCATTAAATATCCATGAAAACTATTATATCCGGTATTGACAGTTCCATTTTACCTGTGTGCCTATAAGTAAAAAACGGTCAAATCGGGTGTTTTTTTCTAGTGTTTTCAACATTTTATGACACACCACTTTGTTTGATTGTAACTTTTTGATGCAAAATTAATTGTATTCGCCGGTATTATTACTCTGGCTATTGCCTATTGACTATTTGTCATTGTTTAACATTTTTGAGCAGGTGCATTGTCTTGATGAATAATGGTTTTTTGTGCTGCAAACCAGGTCTTTTCGCACGAATTTTTTCATCCAGCTGATCCAAAAGGCTAAAATAATATTCATAGTTGCTTGAAAACTCTGATGTCCCTTTGCTAAGCGTTGTGAATTCACCTACTTTGTTCTTGTTTCAATTTTGGATAATGGTGGTAGATTTAAGTCTCATGGATAGTTATAAAACGAGACAAGAACATGGTTTTATTCCGCTTAAAATGCTCTAAATTTTGCTGAGAAAATTGTTTTCGATTCAGTTTTTGTTGAATTGTTGACGTGTGTGGCACTAAATTTCCAAACAGTTCTTTCATATGTAATTCTCCTTGTAAAATCTGAAGTACGCGTTCGTCTGAAATGCCTATTGCATTAGCAATTTCACGCTTAATACAAATTCGATTTTCACTAACAATATTATGAACATGCTCAACGATTTCTGGTGTGGTTGCGGTTTTTGGTCGCGTGGATCGCGTTCAAGCCTAATGCGACCACTTTTAAATTCAGCAGACAAAAATTCAACGGAGCGTTTTGAAAGTGAGGACTCCTTATACACTTTTAACAATTGTTCATAAATTTCCTTTGCTTTTAAACGTTTCAAAACATAGAATCTAATCACTGCGCGATATTCAATTTTTTCCATATTAAAAAATACGCTGACACGTCAACTTCAAATTGCTTGTAAACAAAGAATTAATTGACAGAATGACTTGTAACTTTGCATGTTTACTGTGTAGTAGTGCTATTTCTTGGTGAGATCAACCAATTTTTAAACCAACCTGTATGACTATATAAATGATTAGTATGACGAACTGAGTCGATTTAGCCGTGTCCGTCCATCCGTTTGTATATATGCCAACTAGTCCCGAACGGCCAATATTGGACCACTATAGCATATAGCTGACGTACAAGCTGAACGATCGGAAAAAAGTGCTTGTATGGAAAGCTTTTTTATTTAACAAGCTATATTCATGAAATTTTTTATGACTTACCTATTTTCAAAGGCAATGGATAATCTTCAAAGAAATTGTTCAATTCGAGTGAATTCGTTTATATTTTTTCATATATGTACGTAGAAAATAAAAAAATTATGTACACAAAGCACCGCTAAGTTTTAACTTAAATTAGCAAATGATTTTGAGTTTTTTTCTAAAATGCTGTGCGCTAAAGCCTTGACCTTAAGTTTATGAAGACCGACAGCCGACCAGCTTTTTACTTGTTTATAATTATTATTATTTTTTTTTTTTGTGAAGCGCATTGTTACTAAGCCTCTGCTTGCGCTATGCGAAACAATCGAAAGCTTTTGTTTTACCGTTATTGTTTTTTGTGTGCTTTTTCTTTATATTCTTTGACTTATTTGTGTAACCTGCGAGATTTGCTTAATCAACTTAGTGTTTAGTCTTAGCTTACATACATATATACTTACATACAAATTAGTTATACATATAACTGTAGAATTAAATTACGTACAATACATATTACATACATTATATATGTACATTTGTATGTATTGTAAACTTGACCCAACTAAATTCTTATTTTATGTAGATGACTCATATTAGTATAAAAATAAACATTTGATTTTCTTCTTTTCCTTTTTAAACACCACACACACACACACACACACATACATACATACACATTCCGCACTTGTACGTGCAACGGTAATTGCATGCGTCTGCGTAAAACTATTTTTGAAACGCAACGCCGCCACGCAACACGTAATGACATGAAAATTAAACACCAAACAACAACAACGACAACAAAATACGCAAATGCAATTACAATTATGGAAATCACAACAACACACACGCACGTATTTAACTGGGTCATCAACACATGAACTTGGTCACCACCTCCACACCGTCATCCGCCATCCGCTGGCACCTGACACCCTGTAATATGTAGACCATCCCATACATCCACCAATTAACAAGTCTGATCCATGGGAATTGGAATTTCCAGCTGATAATGACTATGAAATCAAAAGTATTAACGGTGTCTTCCACGTCTACAAGGATAAGGTGAGTGGGTGCACTTTTTTTGCACATATATGTAAATACTTATATATGTAGTTTGTTTCATGCTTCACTTTATATTCGCAGGAATGCACGCAGGAGGTGAAATGCGAGTATCCAAATCTCAAGGAGTTCGTTAACGACATGCAGGTCATGTGTAATATGATTGTTGATGGACCACTGTGAGTTGTCTTCTATATACATACAAACATAAAGTTTTTATTTTAATTTTCACTAATATTTGCTGTTTTTTCCTCACAGTAAATCATTTTGTTATCGCCGGCTTTGCTATCTCTCATCGAAATTCCAGTTGCATGTCCTTTTAAATGAGCTACGTGAGTTGGCTTCTCAGAAAGCGGTGCCACATCGCGATTTCTATAATATTAGGTAAGTTAAATCTAGTAGGTTTATTATATTAAATATTAAGGCTTGAAAGTGATACAATGATAAAATCGACTATTTAGTACTTTCAGAAACATAAAATTAGATATGTCCAATGTTATACCATCTGATCAAATATGACCCGGACTGCGAAAATAACTACATTTTCACGTATTTTAATACAAATCTTCATTGCCGCCTACAAAATATGCATCTGCGCCAACGAAAGCATGCCAACGCTTAATGCAATTTTCCCTACACTTGTGCCTCGTTCTTCATTGCCTTTAGCGAATTTTGGGTTTTTTCGGTTTTGGTGGTAGCACCATTCGCTAGATTGTTGAACAGTTTCGATATATTATTCCTGAGTGTCCTCAGCTACACTGTCAAGCATCGCTATTGCGACCTCTACTCAACGCTTAATACCCAAAACTTTAACTAAAATGTATTGAGTCGATAAATAAGAGATGTTGAGATCCTTTGCTATCTCTCTGCTGCCAACACGATGTTTTTTAGGCACTGTTTCTTTAACTTTAACATTTTCGATGTTATCGTCTTTAACAGAGATGTATTGACGACCGTTTCCACGACAGTCGTGTTTAAGTAACCGTAACGGACCCGGATTTTTATCCAGCCAAGCACTGTCAACTCGGCACCATTCCTCGAAATTAGTTCAGGAAAGTTTTCGACAACAACAACATGGATTGACGACGCGCATGAGGCAAATTTTCGACGACTTCACGACTTTCACCGAATGCTTTGTGCCACTAAAGGACTTTTGTTCGTGATAATGTAGACTCTCCAAAATACTTGTGCAACATTTTCAACGATTGCGTTGCCGTGATTCCATTGATCCTAAAATTTCAAGGAAACTAGGTTCAATGCTTTTTTTTGTTATAGTAAAAATCGTCAACAATCTTTTGGTGTCGTAAACAAACAGTCATTTCACACGAACCTTAAAAAGGTTTTATCAATCTAAAAAAAAAAAGCATTTTTATCGATTCGGCTTTCACGCGCAGTTTAAATAGACTAATCCGGGTCAATTTTGATCAGTTGTTATATAGATTGTGGTCTATAAATTTCTAAATGTGTTGATGAAACTTGCTATCAAAAATATTCGGGTGACCAGACGAACTGCTTTCGCGATGTCTGTCTGATTAACCGTCCATTTTTTTAAATTTTGAAAATGGTTTATCTCAATTTCCGGCAAAACTAATTGCAAAGTTGTAGGTACTAAAGATACCTATAACTTTTGTATTCGCCCATTTTTGCCATAACCTCAAAACTGATTTTTATCTTTTACAATTTTTTTTTACGAAATTTGGTGTAAACCTTACTGTTTATGTCCCCAACTCACTGCATTTTATTTTTTTTAAAGATATTGCTTTTTTCAATTTTATTTGTTTTTTGTTGTTTCACATAAATTTCAACTAAAAACATAGATATTTAAATTTTTAAGAGTCTGAAGTTCGTGTAGGATTTTCAAAGCCTTGAGAATTTATTAATTAGAAAAATTTCGAATTTTAAATTAATTTCTATCAAAAACAATTTTTTATTTTTTCTCCACACAGAAAGGTCGACACTCACATACACGCCGCCTCCTGCATGAATCAGAAACATTTGCTGCGTTTCATTAAGAAGACGCTTAAAAATAACGCCGATGAAATTGTGACAATCACCAAAGGTCAACCAATGTCACTGAAAGATGTGTTCCAGTCAATGAATCTAACCACCTATGATCTAACTGTGGATATGTTGGATGTGCATGCGGACCGGAACACATTCCATCGTTTCGACAAATTCAATTCCAAATACAATCCGATCGGTGAGTCGCGTTTGCGCGAGGTCTTCCTCAAGACGGACAACTATTCGAATGGCAAATATTTTGCACAAATTATTAAGGTGAGTGAGGAAGGGACGTTAATTTTATATATATATTTGAGTATTTTTAAAACTTTATTTTATAAATATTTTTTTTTTAACAGGAAGTTGCCTTCGATTTGGAGGAGTCGAAATACCAAAATACCGAGCTACGTCTCTCCATTTATGGCAAATCACCGGATGAGTGGAAGAAGTTAGCAAAATGGGCCATCGAATACAATGTGCATTCGACAAATGTACGCTGGTTGATACAGATACCACGACTTTAGTGAGTTCATCTATTTCTTTCTCACATTTTGTGGCATTATTTTTAATTCCACTCTCTCTTTCTCTCTCCAGTGATATCTTCAAATCCAATAATTTGATGAATTCATTCCAAAATATATTGGATAACATCTTTAAGCCACTCTTTGAGGTTACAAGCCGACCCAGCGAGCATCCGAATTTACATCGTTTTCTAAATTATGTAATCGGTTTCGATTCGGTGGACGATGAATCGAAACCGGAGAATCCAATTATTGATTTAGACATACCAACACCGGAAGCGTGGAGTGAAGAGGAGAATCCACCATATGCCTACTACATTTACTACATGTACGCAAATATGACTGTGTTGAATCAATACCGAAAGTAAGTGATTATTTGAATTTATTATTATTATTTTTTTGTTTTTTCAAAATTTTATTTATATATTAATTATAAATTTGTATCCCTACCCTTTCTATCATAGAGCGCGCGGCATGAACACCTTCGTTTTACGTCCGCATTGCGGTGAGGCCGGTCCGGTGCAGCATTTAGTTTGTGGCTACCTAATGGCTGAGAACATTTCTCACGGCCTCCTGTTACGTAAAGTGCCTGTGCTGCAGTATCTCTTTTATCTGACACAAATCGGCATTGCCATGTCGCCACTCTCTAATAATTCACTCTTCCTCAACTATCATCGCAATCCGTTGCCGGAGTATTTGGCGCGCGGTCTTATAGTCTCACTTTCCACTGATGATCCGCTACAATTCCACTTCACAAAGGTGAGTTGAGTGTGCAAGCTTCGGTTTGAGTTTAATTGAAGTGGAATAATTGGGTTTTTTGCATTTGCTTTAGGAACCCCTGATGGAGGAGTACAGCATTGCGGCGCAAGTGTGGAAGTTGAGCTCATGTGATATGTGCGAATTGGCGCGCAACAGTGTGATTATGAGTGGTTTTCCGCATAAGGTGAGCGCAAATATTATATAACCGAGTGTAGGCTTTATCTTTATACAAACTTCATGTATTATATTAGTTAGTGGATTTACGTCATCCACACAAGTCATATTAGAGTTGGTACTTACATTTACCTTAAAATGTGTTGTTGTCGTTATGGTTGTTGTAACAGCTGCTTATAATTTTTGTGAAGGTGTTTCTGAGTTGCTAATTCGCGGCTGGAAATAAATTTTTGTTCCTTCTGAAACTTTAAATATCGCTCGATATCTCTGCATTGCCCAATACACTACTGGGGCATGTCAATCTCGTTATTGCTTATTATCTGGGCTTAACTTATATCGAAACATCTAAAAAAACGTATATATACGGTCGGTAGAGGTGTAAAATGTTCCTCAAAATTATTCCTATGAAATTTTTAATTATAAAAATTTGTTATTAATGTAAGGTGATAGCTTTTTTTTTGTATTCGATTTAGTCATGTCCATTTGCCTGTCTGTATATAGGTGAATTAGTCGCTCAGTTCTTGAGATATCAAACTGAAATTTTGCACACGCCCTTTTTCCTCAAGAGTCTGCTAATTTATAGGAACCGCCGATATTGGACCACTATAAGACTATAGCTGCCATACAAACTGACAGATAAAAATTAAGTCCTTGTATAGAAAACTTTTTTATTTGAAAAGATATCTTCCGGAAATTTGGCATGAATTATTATCTAAGACAATGCTAAAATCTGCGAGCAAATTGTTCACATCGGACCACTATAGCACATAGCTGTCATACAAACTGACCTATTAAAATTAAGATATAGTTTTTTTTATACTACCTAAGGTAAATAAGATTGCAAGATTTTAATTAACCTGATCTCTCTTCCAATATGTTTTGACTCAACTAAAAAAATCATTCATCCAATTCTGATTGTTCATTAATTATTTACAGTACTTTTATTTTAACCGACTTCTCATATTTCGTTCGCAGGTCAAACAGCATTGGCTCGGTCCGAATTACACGCGTGAAGGTGTTGCTGGCAACGACATCACACGCACCAATGTGCCGGACATACGCGTAGCCTACCGGCATGAAACGCTGCTCGACGAACTGTCGAATATCTTCAAGGTGCACGAGATTCCGAAAAGTGAGTAAACCCAATGGAGGCAACCGCAAGCGCAGCAGCAACAAAGGTCAATAGCAAACGCAAATGTGATAACAGCAACAACAAAACAAAAACACATTTGTTACACAGGCACACTGCGTAAGCGTATGCTTAACACCGAACAGCTGGTGCCATGACAGTTGAGTCGACATCTTCTCATGAATTTACCTATATAAACTTCTTAAGCCTCTTTTTTCTACCACAATTATAACTGTAATTACTATATACATATATATGAATATTATTAATACCATTATTACTACATATAACTGCTGTTACTAAAACAAATCAACTATTTCAACACGCGCGTATTTACATACATGTATTTTGAATCTTCTTGTTATAACATAAATATAAATGGAAAAGATATATGTATGTATGATGTTGTGAATGTGACATTTTGTACACACACATATATTTATTGTACTGTTTTTTTTTTTGTTTCATATCTAACACTTGAAACTCAAACAATTAACAAAAGTCTAAACAATTGCAGAGGAAAGTGCAAACGACATTCAACTGCAAGGTGAAGAAGTTGAAAATGAAGCTGAAAAAGCAAATCAAATCGAAGCTGTTAAGTCATTTTTTCTTAGCTCGGAATATAGCACGTGCTTGGAGGATTTATAAAATTTGTTATTGTTTTTTAATTATTTAAATTTATTAATATTTTTTTTTTATAATTTGCCATCGCTTCTAAGGGAGTAAAATATATGTATGTATAATAATAATAATATTGTTATTTATAGTATATATGTATATATAGCCTCTTCCAATGAGTAACTGTTAAAATATGTTGTTGTATTTATGCCTACACGTATGTATGTATATGTAATATAAATTATTTTGCAATTTCCTCAATTCGGCTTGTTAACCAAAAAATTGCTCCGGCAAATGCAAATTGTTTAATAGCAAACTTAAGCGCAAGCAGAAATTGTATTTACTGCTGCAAAAAACTAAAAATAAATTGTTTAATGGTGCAAAATGCAAAAATAAATTGTGAAAATCCGTATAAGCATTAAATTGTTGTTGTTTTTTATTATGCCATTACTTCTTTTATGTAGTAGTGCGCGTGGCTCTCAAACTGTACGCTGCTTGGCATACAAAGTGTTATATTAATTATTGCAGCGCCCTGTAGTGTTGCGCCTGAAAGCATGCAACACGTTTGCTATTTTTTTTTCGCGGCCGCCACTTGCTGGCTGTTTCTGCGCGCCTGGTGCGATTTGGAAATTTCGTACGCTACTAAAATAATTTTTGTAACGCCGCAACTAGGGTGGTCGATCGCTATATTTTTAGTGCGAGTTATTTTTATGGGATAATTTTGCTGTAATTATATGATGGAGTTGGTGCAAATAATTTGTGCAATAAAAGTTTTTGCAATTGAAACTTTTTTCTAAGAAAAATAATAAAACAACATTGATGACTTTTTAAATTTTTATTTTTATTATTTAATTTTTATTTTTATTATTTAATTTTTTTTTTTATAATTTAAATTCTCAATAAAATATTAAAAATGTGTGTTAAATTTTCTGTGATTTTTCAAGGAAAAATATGAATGTTTTGGCGATTTTAGTGAAATAAAATATTAAAATTAAATAATATTGTGTTTGTATGGCTTTACCTAAAAAAACTAAGAAAAATTTGTATAGTAATATTTTGAATAATTTTAAAAATAGTATATTAAAAAAAAAAATTGGAAAAATTAATTTCGTTCCGAAAGTGTGTTCTGATTTTGGTGTAAGTGCGCTATAAAAATTTTTTCTTTCAAGAATTTTATGAAAGAATATTTTTTCTTATTAAATTATTTTATTTAGAAAATATGTATGAAAGAAAATATGAAAGCATACATACATATGTACAGCTGTGTTCATAAAAATAGCAGTGCTCATGAGCTACAACTTTAAACTTAATATTATATATCAAAAAGTAAATGAATGTTCACAAATTTAATTTTGTTTTAACTTTGTGATTATTTTAAACAAAAACACATCAATTGATTATTCAAAATGTTGTTAATTTTTTTACATTATTAATTTAAACAAAAAAGTGCTGTTTACAGCTGTTCATAAAAATAGCAGTGAGTAATGAAAACAGTGGAATTAGTTGCAAAAAACATTGTTGAACTCCAAAAAACTATTTTAATTTGTTTGCTTGGGTTAGTACTTAGTCGTGTACCCATTATTTTTTATTATGGCCTGGCAACTGCGAGGCATAGAATCCACCAAGTCCTGGCAGCGCTTGACAGGGATCCGCTCCCATGATTTTTGAACAACCTCCCAATGCTGTGATCGAGATGTTGGATTTGCATTTGCAACATATCGTTTAACATCTCCCCATAGGTTTTCAATTGGATTTAAATCCGGAGACTGCGCAGGCCATGACATAAGATCGATCCGCTTTGATGCCATCCAGCTTTTGACCAGTTTGCTTGTATGTTTGGAGTCGTTATCTTGTTAAAACGTCCATTTGAGTGGCATTTCCCAATTGGCATAAGGAAACATAACATTTTCTAATATGTTAACATATACAGATCGATCCATGATCCCATCAATCATGAATATAGGGCCCACTCTTCTTCAAAGTGTACCTAGGATCGTACTCTGTGTTAGGTGGACGTCTGACATATTGTCTGGAGCCCTTTCCACCAAATAACACAATTTTACTTTCGTCACTCCATAAAATATTTCGCCACTTTGTAATGGGCCAATTAAGGTGACTTTTGGCGAACTCCAAACGTGCTTTGACATGTCTGGTGGCTAACAGTGGAACTTTTCGTGGATGGCACGTTTTGAGATTTTGTTCTTTAAGACATCGCCGAATAGTAACGCCACTAACATTCAAGCTTAAGTCATTTTTTATCTTGCTGGACGATGCAAAAGGCTGCGCCCTGCTATATCGCACAATAGATTGGTCCTCATGAGGTGTGGTTTAACGTTGGATACCACGATTTTCGGGCATTTCTTTAACGTTTAAAGCATTATGAATAATTTTAGCAGAACATCCACATATTTCTTGGATGTCTTTATATGTTTTTCCCAGGTTTCTTAGTTGCACTATAATATTTCTTTTTTCAGGAGTAGAATGTTTGTCCCTGCCCACTAAGTTAAAAAATATAAATTTATTTTAGTGTTTTCTAATGTTAATAATAGTCACTAACACAAAACCACTTACTTTTTATCAATTAAACGTCTTAACAAAATTTTTTTGGCTTATCAAGATACGCACTGCTATTTTAATGAACAGCCAAAGACTGGTGCTTCTAGCAAAACGAGTTGTTCATTTGCTTAAATCTCGCAAATCTAACGTTTTCTTTTTTCGTTTCTTCCTTATACACATTCCATTCTACGACAACAATGCGTAGACGTTGGAATAATCGTAACGGTACTTGAAAATAAATAACATTACTTGATTGCATTTCTTGCACTGCTATTTCTGTGAACACAGCTGTACATACATATACAAATTAAATTAAATATTTTGAGAATTTTTTTGTTTCAAATAAAATAGTAATTGATTGTTGAAGCTTTCAGTAAAACCACAACGAAGTTCGATATTTTATTCATTCAATCTGATGAATAAAATTAAGTTTTAAAATTTTATAAAAATATAATAATTTTTGAACATTTTTGTACACATTAAATATTTTGATGTAAGTAATTGCGTATTTTTAAATTTTTAAAAAAGTTTTAAATAAAAACAAAATTGTAGAATTAATTTCTTTTGGTGGTACCGAATTTTACGATTTTGTTTTAAAAAAAAGCTAAATAAATTTAAGGTGTATTAAAAAAATATGCAAATATTTTAACTGTTTACGATTTCACGTTTTCTAAATTTTGTATATATTTTCGGGAAAATATACTAGAATTTTTTCATTGAATTAAATTTATTTCAATTGTTAAAGCTTAAGCTCATACACGCTTTAGCCAATAGTATACGAATAGAAATTTATGGAAAAATTTATTTATCTGATTTTATCGGTAAAAAATATATTATAAAATACTATTTTTGAAAAAAATAAAATTAAAATAAATAAAAAAAATATTCTAGTATGCAGATGAGCAAAACAAAAAACGCATAAACACAACTTGTTTTTTAATGTTTTCCAAAAATTGTTCTAAAATTCTAAAGTGTTGTTCAAGTGTTTAACGTATAAAATACTTTTCTCAATATTTTTATAAAAGATAAATTTCCATGAAAAGAGTTTAAAATTAACAATAAATGATTAATAGCAATCAGGGTTGCAAAAATGTTTTAAAAACAATTACTGTATTGAATTTGAAATTAATTTTTTTAAATTGATTTTTAATTCCAAATATCGGATTGTCAAAAAAAAAAATTATTCCAAAGCATAAATTAAGAATTCAATAAAATGTTTTAGAAATACTATTTAACAAAAAAATTCCAAATAAAATAAAATTAAAAATTTTTAATTTTTAATCCGTTACATTTTGGATTAAGAATTAAAAATATATTTTTATAGATTCAAATATTTAAATTTTTAATTCCAACATCGGAATTTAAAATTTAAATTTAATTATGAATTCAAAATTTTTTAATAAATAAAATATAATATTTAAAAGAATTTTTTCAAACATTTATAAAATTTAAATTCATATAATATAAAACTACCTTTCAAAATCTTTTGTGCATGTATGTACATATGTTTGTATCCATATTTAAAGATAACTTAAGATGCATACGATTTTTTTCTGTGAAAAATCACAAAATTTTCAAGCTTTTGAAAATACGGTGATTGCAATAAAAAAAAAATTGTAAGATCGCAGTATTAAAAAAATATATTTAAATATTATAATTATAAATATTATATGTTTTGTATGTTTGTTTTGTCTTCGGCGATATCTTCTATTTTTACATACATTAAACATAGTAAATTCTACATAACGGTATTTGTTAGTAAGTGAAAAAATTCGTAAACACTTTCTGTCGTTAAATATATGAAAATTTGTTAACTATATACAATTAAATACAAAAATATGAACATATGAACATAAAACACAACGGTTTATAAAAAAGTGTACATACATATGTACTTAATTGCTTAACAGCACATACTAAAAAACTATTGACTTAGAAGCTACGATGTTTTACTTAATATGCCGTGAATGCGAATGCGCGCGAGAAGTAGTCGAAAGTTTTAAAGAAATGCGTTTTTTCAATTGAGAGCAAAAGCTGAAATCGATTTTCTTAAGGGCACAACACACGGTCGTAGATAAGCGACAGGATAGCTCCGTTACTTCCTAATAATTGTAAATACAAATGTTTGTATAAATTCAATCTTCAAGCTTTCATTACGGGACTGTAACGGTTATCATACAAATTTATAATTTCTGTTTTTCGCTAAATATCTATATTTTACGGTTTAATTTCTTAGATAAATTTTAAACGTTATTTTGTGTTTTGTGATAATCGATATTTTTTACTGTTTAATTTTCTCGGCGAAACATAATTGATTTTTACGGTTTTTAAAAATATCGACCTCGGCCATATATTATAATATAAGAAAAAAAAATTTTTGAAATCTATTTTTCGATAAAAAATTATATATATATTATTTATTTAAAAAACAAAAGATATCGTTAGATATTTCTACGATAAAAAATAATCGTTATATCGAATATCGTATCGACAAAATATCGTTATTGTGGCTTCTTTTCGATATTTAACAGTTTAATTTCTTCGTTAAATTATAATTGACGCTTTATAGTTTTTAAAAAATCGATTCCGGACAGACATTTAAAAATATTTCAAATTCCATTTTTTGTGAAAATATAAAATTGTAAATAAAATTTTAATTATATATTAATAATAATAATAAATCTTTTTTACGACAAAAAAGTGTGCTTATATTTTACTTTTAAATTTTATCAAATTATTCCTTATTTATCTTTCGACAAAAAAATTACCGTATTTCGATTGTTATTTTCCGATAGTTTGCTGTTTAACTTCTTCGATAAATGATACTTGGCACTTTACAGTTTTTAAAAATATCGATTCCGGCCAGAAGAAATATTCAATATTTTCTTTCTTTTCGACAAAAACAAAAATATAAATATTTTTACTTTGTTTCCAAAAATATTGTTTTATATTTTTACGATTAAAAAGTATCGTTTTGTTATCGATGCTTTCGACAAAAAAATATCGTAATTTTTTCGATATAAAAATAATCATTTTGATTTCTATTTTTCGATAGAAAAAAAGTATTATTTTCAAGTTTTATTTAATTTTTTTCGTTGATAAAAATAATTAGTTTTCTAACAAAACTTGTATTTGTTGTATTTTCATATTTTTTATTTCTGCAAACTCGTGTAGCGCTATATTATCTACACTATTTTTCTAAAGAAGTTTATATATTAATATATATGTATTCTTGCTGAAACAGTGTGAAAACTTTAAATTTAAACAATTTAGTGGAAAAAGTTGTTCAAAAAACTAAAAATAAAAAATAATATTTATTTATTAACGAAAAAATAATAATCAGACCAATATAAAATTATTTTTTATCAAAAAATACAAATCATAAAATACATTTTTTTTTAAATTGAAAAAATTTAAATAGAAAACAGTTATTTTAGTTCGACCTATAGCTAAATAGATAAATATAAGCTTCAAATATGTACAGTCGAAAATATAATAATCTTAAAAGAGAGATTACGCAAAATGTTCAATACAAAAATAAGTTTAGCTTAGGTTAACATAACATATCAGTTAATATTTGCTATGAAGAAATTCTTCAAAACGTTTTTAAAATCCAAAAATCTCAACATAATCGTTATATTCAGTGCCTGATTTCACTGCTTTTTGCTCTCATAGTTGGAATATGTTTTAATATTAGGCAGTGTCAGCGGCGCATTCGCATTTCACAGTTAGCTTACGGCATAGAAGTTCATACAAATTTACGTTTAAACTTTATTGTTTTTCTTTTTGTAATTTTTTGCATTGCATTAAGTTTTTTTTGCAACTTTGGCACTACATCTTGAATTGCTTATCGTTTATGTTTTAAATATGTTCCTATTTTGCCTTTTAATAATGTAGATTAGGGTATTTTTTATTGCGCATTTTGCAACGTTTACTTATTTTTGTTTCTTTGATTACGAATTAGTCTCTTTAGATTGTTTACCAATACTCAATGCTTACATGTTCAGTCGCAATTGTTATTATAATTGTGTTGTATGTGTTTAAAACGGTGAATTCATACCCAATTTGGTGCCAAAGTCAAGCCTCGCGCGGCGCTGATAGCGTGTGTTAACTCTGAAAACAAAATATAAAGAAAAATAAATTAATCAAAAAATTAATTATATTCCAATTTGAAAACCCACTTAATCTCTTGCCACTTGCAAATCTCCGTGATTGCCAGGCTTATAAAACTGCCACCATAGAGGAACGCGATCGCCGGCCACATACCGCAGGCCTCCACGAAGTAGTTGTCCTGCAGGCAGATCTGCACCGCACAGATGACGATGTGCACGAGCAGCGTGCAGCCGCAGGTGAAAGCCCAGATGTGATTGCGGAAGGGATTACGCTGCCACAGCGAGTGATCGCGATGCACGAAGCAGGCGGAAATCACCACTGGAAGGTAAAAATGTTTGTATGAGTATTGTATCTAGTAAATATGCTAAATATGCTCACCGAAATGCACTAAGATGCCGAGGAAAGAGAAGATGCGAGCGATTTGCAAGTTGATATGCAATTTCTCCTCGTCAATGTCCATGAGCTCGATGGGATGCGCCATAAATGTGCAATAGGCGAAAATCTGTTGGAAAATGAAATATTATTAGCTTCAGTAGAGCATACGCATGTACATTTTGAGGCGAATTGCCTATGCAGGTAGGATCGATTTTCAAACGGGGATAAAATCATCCGAATATTGTCAACGCAGATGTTTCTCGGAACATATTTTTCTACTAATCTTATAAAAGAACAGTGTAAAGGGAACAATTTCGTAATTTCACAACAAAAATGTTCTTGTTTTTGCTCATATTGTTCAGCAAAGGCGACCCCTATAAAAATATATAAAAAAAAATATCACAAAAATTCGCAAATACAAAAGTTTCCATACAAGAACTTGATTTCGATCGATTAGCTTTGTCTTGGGCCATAATATATGCCAAATTTCGTACAGATATCTTGTCAAATAAAACTTTTCTATACAAGGACTTGGTTTTGGTCGTTCACTTTGGAAGCTCAAAGCATGAGTAGTAAATATAAATAAAATTTCAATTAGTTCACACTTACCATAATCAAAATGGGAGCGATGAATTTACAGCCATAACACCATATCACAAAACCGAAGACCTTTGTATCATACTCGGTTTGCTTCTTGCCTGTGGCACGATTCATAATCTTCGGATCGATATCGATGTGCGCCAAAGCGAGCGCAATCAACGGTACCGGTACGCTCATCAAATACAGCACCATAATCGGCGTCAATAGTGGCGGCAGCGAAAGGCAAGCGCTTAAAATATTGATCATTGAAAGCGCGCCGGCACAGCAAGCCCAATATTGTATGCAATTCCAAAGGCCAGCCGAAAAGCGACGCGACAACTCGATAATGGACACCAGCGATAACGGTTCATCGCGACACACCGATATCGAACAGGGCAACGAGTTGAGGAGCCGACCTAGGTAGACGGGGGACACAGTGTTGCCGGCGGACTGCATTGGACGCATTTGTGGCTCATCATTGCCATAGAAGCCGCTTTCGAGCAGCTCTTCGGTGGTGTAGGGTTCATGACTACCATATTTCTCCTCGCCATTGAGGTCCTTTTTGAGGCGCAGCAGACGCAATTTGTTATTTGTTAGATTGCCCTCCGTGTAGGCGTTAATGTCTTGACAAACTTGCGGATAAAGCGGCTCGACAGCTATGCTGCAATCGGCTTGCAGGAATATATTCGCATTTGAATTGCTGGCCGAAGAGCCGAGACACACGACAATCTCACCATATGACTGCATAATATCGAGCATTTGACGCGTCGCCTCGGGCGAACAGTCGGTGAATAGCGACACCTGTAATGGCACATTGTCCACCTGTTCCAAATGCGGACGTATATTCTCGATGCCGCGCGGCAATTTAGCACGATTAGACATGTCAAAGTGTACGGGAGCGCTCTGCTCGGTACTCTCCGTTATGATGCTCATCGAGCGACAATTCTCATCCATGGCAGAGTCCTCCGATTGGCGGTGCTCATCGTCAACGGCATCCACAATAACTTTGTTGCCGCCATCCACCATGTGTAAGGACTCGTTTTTGCCGTTACCTTCACCACCACAACTGACGCTGCTGCGACGCGAGGGCGGTGTTGAGCTAAGCTGCACCGCTTGGTACTCATCGGGATTGGAGATGGCGCCCGGTGCTGATGAGCTTAGTGTTTTGGAAGACTCGAGATTGGGTGGCGGTAGCAGATGATGCAGATCGCTGCCTTCGTCGTCGGCGTCGTTATCGGTGCCGCCTGTACCGCCTGTAATATTCGTTATATTTAGGTGCGTTTGATGTGGGGGATGCGTGCTACTAATATTACTACTATTGCTGTTGTTGTTTTTCTGATTACCTATGTTGATGGTGGTAGTGGTGGTGGTGTTCTGCGTGCTTGTGCACTGATTTATGATTTCTACATTATGAGGCAATGAAACATTATTGGTGGTTGAATTGATGGTGCTTGTGGCAGTGTTGTTGTTTTTGTTGATGGTTGTGCTAATGGCTGTCGTGTGATCATGAGCGGACTCAACAATGTTGATATTATTCTCATTATTACTCTGCAAACTTTTGTTACCCGAACGCCCAGACGTACCGCTGGTGTTAGCCTTCTCGGCAGCAGTATTCATTGAGGCCTTATCATCTCCCTCATTCAACAGCGATATGTGACAGTTCCAGCCGGACTCCAGACCCATCTTCTCCGAGAATACACGCGAGCGCAACTCGTTTTCTTTGCTGAAATGTACGAACCGTATACAAGCGCGCTCCAGTCGCTCCACCAGCTGTACAATGTCCGTCTGCGCTTGATACTGCATAGTCACCATACCGATGAACACCTGATGGCATTGCATTTCGAAGCAGCCCTCTACATCGTTGATGTCATCGTCTTTACTTTCGCTGAATAATAGCGAATCAGTGCTGATGCTGTGACTCAATTTCGTATGTATATGGCCGCCACTCTCGAAATCGCAATGGGCGCGATCAACATGTTGCATGCGTATTTTCGACTCAGGTGGCAATTCTAGATATGCAATTGGTCCACCGGTGTGCTGTGCGCCGCTGAGCGCGCCATTAATGCCATGTCGCAGCGGGCGATACGAGAAGGCGGTGCAGTAGGCGGTGAGCGCGCTGCGTTGATAGAAATCGAGCGCTTTCTTTCGATCCTGCGCCGAAAGTGGGCGCAAGTCTTTGCCATCCCAAAAATCATCACAGAAATCCATTATAATGTCGGCGGTGCCTTGGGTGAAGAGCGAAAGGTAGCCGGCAGGGTTTTCGCGCATCACCACCGACAGTGAGTGCGGAAAGGGTACCTTGACTTTAGACGATAGCTGCAGTTGGCGTGCGAAGCGAATGTCACGACGCACCACTTCCGGTTGCTGGATATGCGTGAAGGAGGTAGAAAATTATAATAATTTTGTTAATTATAACATAAGATTGCTATACATTTATTTTATTTTTGCAAATAATCGCGTAATATGTTGTACGTTGTGAGATAATAAATACTTAACGGTTGTTTATACTGAGTAAAAATTTAGAAATTTTAATGAAAATGGGCGTAATACTTTCTAATAGAAATCTGAGCATATCTCAGCGAAACTAGAGAAAAAAAAATTTTATATCACCATCTAAAATGAGAAAAAATCGGCTATTTACCACGCCCACCACCCAAAGGAAAATATTCAAAAATCAGTCATTACAACGTCATTTCGGCAGACCCTCGGAAAAAATAAAGATAAAAATACGTGTTTGAACTAAGACCCTTAACTAGGTACGGAGACGGAGAAAAAACAAATAAAGTGAAAATTGTATTTTTGGCAAACGTTTTTAAAAAAACAGGCAAATCTTGGTGAAAATTCCTCGACGTTTTTTGTTTTTTAAATAGTTGTAATTAAATAAAAAATCCTCCACGGCAAGACCTTGTAAATTATATCTTAAATACCAGTGTAAAGTTTTCTTAAAATCGGTTGAGTAGTTTGAGAGACATTTTGACAACCGACTTTGAAAACAGTTTCGAGAAAGATTAAAGTTTCAAGCGATTATATAGCTAAACTCGAGCGCGCAACCCATGTAACATGTCGTTGTATGTCGGTCGGAGATATCTCAACAAAATTGGAAGAAAATCTTTCACTTAAGGATTTCATATCGAAAAATGGGGGAATCATACCTATCATCCATCATATTGAAATTAGACCGGTTGATTTCAAAGTAAATATTTCCAAAACTAAATGTGTTCAAAATCTCGGTTGATTTTACTTTAATAAAATTTTGAGACACGTCCTTAATTTTTACAAATTTCGAGACTATACATTATGAATAATATTTATTAGCTTTGATTATCATAAAATCCATATTTATTACTCACCAAATGTCTGTAGGAAGCCAACTGACCCTCGAGTGAAAAATGATCTGTAGCAGAATCCTTAAAACCGATTTGTTTGGCCAATTCGCAAAGGCAACGTCTGCACACAATTTCACGTTGCAAATAGTAAAATTTAAAATTAGTAAAATCATTTTGAAGAAAAATGCATTTTTTTAAATTATAATGTTGAATAAATGTAAAAATATGGGCATAATAAATTGCGTATGTAGAAATGATGTTTAATGTATGTATGTAGGAATGTGCTAATGATGATCTGCTTACATAAGTAACGGAAAAAACAAAGTGTGAGTATTTTTCAAATACAAAAACTTATTAAGAAAATGTTCTATGTCTTCGTTGAAAATTTTGTAAATACACAAACACTTAGATAGTCGATGACTTAAATACGAAGCTATGATCACAAATGGATTCTGTAGGGAAAGTTTACGAAGAGAAATATGTTAGTGTTCATACATACATACATAAACAAGTAAGCTGCTTGGTATGTTAGGGAAGAAATAAAAATATGCGTAGATAAACGGTAGAAAACTTAAATGAACATAATGATATAAACATTTAAAACAAATATGTTGGAAAAGCGCTAGAAGCAATTAAGGAGCTATAACCACTTGCAATTCAGGAAGAAAACGTTGGTTTTTAACCCCGATTAGGGTATATTAAGTTTGACACGTAGTTTGTAAATCCACAAGGAAGCTTGGGAGACTATTATATATTTCTATATAAATGATAGGCATGGCGAGCTGAGTAGATCGGTGCACCGAAGTTAACGTTTTTTCTGAATTTTTGTTGAAGAGGCATTTTATTTAATAAATTAAATTTAAGAAATGTAAATTTATAAAATTTAATGTACTTTAATAGTCGGCGATTCATTTTGAAAAATTTCGGATTTCTTTGATCACATAGCGAATCAACAAGAAGACTTCCGAAAAAGGTATCTGGCGTTTAGGAAGATTTTTTAACTTAAAATTAACCAAAATCCAAAAGCAAAATATATTTTTACTTTAGATGAACACAGATAATGATCTAAGGACTAGTCAAATTTTTGACTCTTCACAAAATGGCGGCTTCCAAAAAAAACATAGTTTTTTGTGACAAAACTTACACTTCAGAGTGGGTTGAAAAATTGAAAGCATTGTCAAAACTTTTTCCCTGAATCTCCAGCTGACAAATATACATAAGTATATCGTGCGAAAATTTTAAATTTCGTGTCAATCGGTCTAGCTGTTTCGGAGAAATTTTCCTCACCGAATCTGAAAACATGTTTCGAGAAAAACGCGTTTAAAGTTTTGGTAGCTAAGTTTAAATTTTTTAAATACGGCCATATCTCCAAAACAATTTGTCGGAACAAATTCAAATTTTCGAAGAATATTCTCAAGCATATGTACATTTTATATATATGTATATTAAAAAAAATTGCGTTTTCGAAATTCACAAGTGGATATAACTTCTTAAGCAAATTCTATGATAAATAATTAGTTTTGTTGAAAATAGTTTTTTTTTTAACAATAGAAAATGAAAGATTCATATTTTTTCCATTACCTACACCTTAACCCTTATAAAACAAAACCTTCGCGGTATTGGATTTTGAAATTTTTTTAGAGACATTAAGTATTTTTTTATATTAAAACACTTTTTTTGTTTCATAAAAGCTAATAATTAATAAGTAATAAAATGGCGAAAATTATTACAATAACAAATATGAGTGTGCAACATGAAATAAACTAATATTTTCACTGTTTATTTACACACACATATATAAAATAAAATAAATAATGGTTAATACGATGAAATATGAGTTTTTCATGTGGCAATTATTACATAACAGTTTTACAACAATTAAAGATTTATAAAAAATTTTGAAAAACAACATGCCGAACGATTGTTATTAATTAACAATTTGGAAAAGCAAAGAGAATATAAAAATATGAGAAAAATATACATATTTTATACAGTGCAATTAAACCTGTTATTCATTTGTTGCGTTAAATGCTTCAGCGTAGCTTTTTGTATGAGTACAAAAGTTTTTTTTCCGTTAATAAAAAGAAATTTCATTAAAAAAGTATTATATTATTAAATAGCGGCTAAAAATATTTAATGGCGAAAATAATGCAAAAAAACCAATTTGGTTAAGTTTTGTAGCTGTTTTTGTTGTTGTAGTTATTGGGTAAGTGCGTTAGTGTAATGCTGTGAAAAATAGCTTCGCATCTTACATGAATTTCAACAATTCGGTCAAATGCATAATAAAACTTGGAATTTTTCTGCATAAATCACTTTATGTTGGCGCTTTAGTGGCAGTACGTAGCACGCTTTCTGCTGAGTTTGCCTTATTTCAATGGATATATACACACAATATTTGTTTTTCGTTAATTTGGAATTTGGCGCTTGATTTACTTTTCTTTTGTTTGCTTTAAAACTGATGGTTTTTCAAAATTGTTCGCTTCATATTTGTGCAAAATACAAAAATTTTAATTGAGAAAATTCAACATTTTTTGTGGAAAAAGAATTGAGAAGTAAATTTGTTTAATATTATAAATATAGGCAAAAAAAAATATAATATATTTGGAAAATAGTAGAAACCCAAAAAGGTTTTAACCAAGAAACAAAAGGCAAGCTTCGAAAATGAACTACGTACCCATGCAAAAAGCTAGTCAAACTGGAATCAACGTGGGCATACCGATTCGTGACTGGCACCAAATCTTTATCCAGCATCGCCACGGCGGTTACATGTCCACAGAATTGCGCGTAATGTGCATGCGTCAGCGGCGAACAAGTATTCAACAATATTGCGAGGCCTAAAAAGTAGATTATTTAGATTTTTTTTTATTCTATTTCTAATTTTAAATTCTTTACACACCCAATGGTTTAAGTGATGTGATATGCGATTTCCACCCATGATCATCGAACTCCAAACGAAATGGACAGTGTTGATCATGTGTTAGATCGAGCACTTCAGCAACAATACCACCGTTTTTACTCTCCGCCTGACTCGTATGATTACTTTTGGTGTTCAACGTAGAACAACTTGTGCTGCGATCATCCAAGTGATCATTGTCGGTATCGTGTAAGAAGAATACCTTCTCAGCTGTTGGATTTGGCCATGAAAGTATGCCTTTCTTGTCTATGCAACAAAGTGCTGTTATAGAGCCTAATACTTGCACTAAATTCGATGAACGTGGTAGCAGTTCACTGTCACCATGCCATAGTTGCAACCAATTGCGAAATACATTCGAACGCAACAGTGATATGTTGTCATAATCAAAGGTGGGCGCATCCAAGTCTTCTTCGAATGATTTTTCCGAGTCTTTAGTGATGAGCACTTGTGGTATTTTGAGAAAGCATTGTAGTCTTGCCACACCCCACAAATTCATCGATATCCACATGATGGGGAAAATGAGTGGCAGTAATGGTATAACTGCAGCAGCTGGTGTCTCTAGGAAAACATATTTCCAATAATGTTGCTCATTGGGATGTGTGCCGACATTGGGCGAACTGCTTAAACCATTAATACGCAACATGCCGGCAAAAAGCGTCAAACAAAGTGCACATATGAAGCCCCATTGTTGTATGTATTTCGTTACCAGCTGTGGATGAATAAAAAATTTAGTAATTGAAAAGTAGTACAAAACAGGAATTATTTTTATATAAATTTGGTCAAATGTGGACTTAATTAGTTAAAAATAACTTCTTATCATAAAACTTCTTATAATAATTGTTTAGGTCCGCATGCACAAGTAATTGTATATAAAATAATTCACATAAACTTCATAATTTAATTAGCACTTCATTGGAAAACCAAACATTCCAATAGAACACTAGACTACCCACCAAATAACGCTGCTGATTGTATATCGTCGATGGGCGCTTCAATGAGTTTTCCAAAATGACACGCAAATTATCCAGAAAAGGCGTCGTCTGCAATGTGCATATTAAATCTGGTAGAGGTGCACGCGCCAAAGGACGCACTGGCGGATCATTCACCTGTGTTGGGCCATATATTTCATGCATTTCAAATGTGCGCTTTCCATTCACTTCCGTACACGGACCGGGCGTTATGTGACCCGGTCGTAGTACAATGTGATCGCCGCGTACCAATAAGGCCCACGGTAAATTTACAATATTACCATCGCGATATGTCCACTGCAGCGACACACAAGGTGAAACTGGGCAACACAGATGCGGATAATTGCATGGTTGCCACTCGCCACATAGATCACGTTCAGCGAGTCGTATATCGGCGAGTGCCTGGCGTGTCTTGCGGTAGATTTCGGTGCGACGTAAATGATTTTCGCGCACCACTACGCACAAATCCAATGATAAGATAGCCGCAACACAGATCGACGCCAGATATGCCTCACCAATAAGCAACGCAATCATAGTGAATAGTGTAGCTGTGATTGCAGGCCATCCCAATGGTGTGTCGCTTGGTTTGAAGAATGCCGAACGCAGTTTGCGATAGTAGCTGTAATAAACAACAACACGAAAATTTGGAAATTGTCCAAATATTATTAATAATTAAGTATGCAAACAGTCGCAAGCAATATGTACATAAATAACACTTTTGACTAGACTAAAACACATACATATATATGTACATATACACAAACAATTACGCGAAAGTCTAGCAATGTTCCTGCTTTTGCACTTACCTCTCCTTGGCGTAGGTGGCCTCATGCTCACGCAACAATTTTTCAATATCATCGTGCAGACGTGATAGTGCAACACGCGTAGTTAAACCATAATTGGGTTTTTCATGGGAAACTCCTTCACCGGTCGCGTTCCCCATTGCCCCCGTAGCAACGGCTTTACGTTGTGACTTTACCGACATCGTTGCTACTAACCGACGCGTCTAGCTTTTACATTGAACTCCGCCGCAAACTGGAATTTTATTAATTATATTTTTCTTTTGGTCGTTGGCCTATTTAATCGGTTACACACTCTATTGCAATTTTATTTTTTAGCGCATTTTTGGCAATTTACTTTACACTCCTTTTCCAAACACAAATAAATTGAAATTTACTCACAATTATTGCTGAGAACAAATGAAAAGTCAAATTGGTTTGACAACTGTAATTTCAGAGTGATCAGCTGTGGCCAATCTCTTATCAATTGCACAGGGTTGCCAAAACTAAAAATGAGGTGGAAAATATTTGATTTGTTTTGAAAATATATTTTTTATTTATTTAGATCATATCTCTTTTATAAGAAATATAAGTAATAGAAATGTATTGTGGTAGTGGTCATTATATGGACAAAAATTATTACCTTTTCCGGTTTGTTAGGTCTGACTGTGGTTGGAAGGAAGATCTACCTCTTCTATAGGTTATTTGAAGGTTCAGAAACTCTTTTAACTCTCTCCTGGGAAATTGTTAGCATGTGATTTTAAATATATAATAACATATAAATATTTTTCTATAATCCTTTCGAAAGTGATTTGATAAATTTTTTATACGTCCTATAAGCTCTGTAGTCGATAAACATAGAGGAGTGAATGTGTTGGGCATGGCTGTGCAAAGTGAGTACAGAGCGAACTAATAAACCTAAACTTTTGCGTCGATATGTGAGAGTGATTGATGGATATACATCCTTATAAAATCGCGGAAAATAGCACAATTTCAGGAATAGGATTGTATTGTCGTATTCACCGTGACCACAAATCAAAGAAAACGATGGCAAAATATAATGGATTGCGCTTACACCATACTCTACGATTTTTCTCTTTTCGCAGACCCTGGATATGCTCGCTGGAAAGTTATAATGTATAGTAAAGATAAATTCATTATTTTTGCCTGAAATTAAAGGTTTTATTAATTTTTTAAATTATAGTCATTCTGGAGGTATGTATCAAAGCTACTCTCATAGAAACCCTAGTCCCTATTGGCAAAACACTGAATAGTTGATTTTTACACGCTTCTCAACTCGGCAGAATTCTGCCGCTACAACCACAACAACAACAACACTCTTCTCTTGAGGCGATATTTTCACCAGAAAAATTAGTGGCAATAGATAGGAACAGTTGGTATTCACTTGGTGCCACTTCCGCACTACCTACAAGATGAATGCATGAGAACCTCCTAGCCAACCTCCTGGAGCTTGTGGGGTCAGCGTCCAGCCTTATTTAAATGATTTCAAACGGTCTTTTGTGTAATGTTTAGCTCCTGTGCAATCGAAAGAGTGCTTACATGAGATTGGACTCGACGATTACTAAAGTCATCTATTGGAAAAATATTGGATTTATTTTTAATAGACCTTATAAATGCGAGAAAGTAGAGTTAATAGCCGCTTCTACAAATATGGTATCGAAAAGCTGGAAGATCGCTTTTATCGGTTATTTTTATACCGCAGCGATAATAACATTTACTTCTTCAAATGTATCGCTTTGTTATATACTTATTAGCTTCGAGTATTATTTCTCTACTTGGCCAACACGTAGTAAGCTAACTAACGGTAGCAACTCTTAATTGCATCACTTTTGAGGTCAGCGCAAGTAGCATATTGCATATGACTTCAAAGCGCTCCTTTGAAAGGCGAACACATTACTTCCGGCATTGCCAAAGTTTCCTTCCTGTCATCAATGAACAAAGGATTTGCTTTGTGAGAGAGAAAGCGCACGATAATAATGGCTTACAAATACAAAACTTACAAAAAAATTATTTTGAAGCATTGCGGCGAATTGATTAAACTTGTGAAGAGAGCAACAGGGGCTGTGCCTGTACAGAGACTGCGACGTTGCAGGTCTGAATTTTTGTCGCAATTTTCAGCCGATCCTTGAACACCTCAAAGTTTGAATAAAAAGTAAGTAAATACTGATTTAGTATTCGAAATTCAACTATGTGGATTTAATTGAATACCGATGAGATTTTTAGACGAAGCCTGTGGAAAAGCAATAATAATAAAATCTGAAAAATAGAATTGAAAAAAAAAGTATGTTACCTATCGAAATATTAAGAAAAGGTACACAAAAATATTTTTTCTAAAAACCTTCGTGTCTTATAGGTATTCGTGGACACAAGATCACCGATTATTTGGCTAGAAAAGTCGCCGCTAAACCATTAAGACGGATGCTAGTGAATCCATACTTAGAAAAAAAGACAAAAAGAGAGCGGTTCTTGTTATCAGCATATGGACCTAAGGTTATTAGCCTCTTTAGAGACAAGTTAAGACTATTTTCAGCGGTGTACCTTGTTGACTGCAGATAGAAGTGTTACTGGCACAAAATGGTCAACGGTAAACTGTCGGTTCTACCAATTGATCAAATTTGACACGGACTTGTCCTTATAAACTGCTTCAACATCGAAAACTTGCCTCATGCAAGTCCACCATCTACATTTATTAATGACGATAACTTTCAAAAAGTTAAAGAACCAGTGTAGATAGTATTTAGCAGAATTATTTTACAAATCATATACTTGTAGTTTTAAAACTGAATATCTAATTGAATTGTGTAATTGAAAGTTGCATTTAAATAATTTTTAGAAAGCACACTTTTGCACTTGTTTCTTCTCTTAAGCGAAATCAGAGTACTCGCCAAGCACTTAAACAAAACGCTGTAAAGCACATAGTGCGGGCTTGAATTCCTGTCTCTCTCAAAATTTTCGCTGCGAAAATGTTAAAGAAACGCTCTAGCTCGCCGCTCGCGCTGTCTCTCTCTTGATATTCCCATTTGCACAGAGTGCTTTGAGTCCTGGTTCCTGTTCCGTATATTTATGCTCGTATATTCCACAAATTGTACATAAAATCAACGAATACTCATAGCTGAGTGTTCGTGTGCCCAGCGATAGAGGGTGTGACCGGGTTAAAAGAAAAAAAATTTCATACTTAGTTCGACGCTCAGAATGTGTGGTTCATGCGTTACGGTAGCCGTTTGAAATCGACCGTCGGATACAAAGCAAAGTGATTGTTGAAAAATTCACTTCATTTCAATAACTAACAAAAGAAAAAATAATAATTATGAATTAAATATGAATAAATGGAGAATATGTGATTGAAAAAAAAACAAAAATTTAAATAAAATCGTATGTGATTTGAGGAAAAGTAAGTGTTTGGCAAAAAAGCAGCAATGGCTGTGAATTTATGCTTTTCCAGCTACACTACAAGCTCAGACGAATATAGTTCATAGTTTTCTGCTTGCTGTAGTTGCGCTGAGTGCATTTGTGGGGCGAAAATTATGTATCCATAAAAGTTTTGCAAATGCAAAGCACAAAATTACCATTAATTATAATAGAAGAGGAAATAAAAATTTAAAGAAAAATCAGTGAGTGTGTATTAGTTAAAAAATATATAAATAAAAGTGTAGCCAAAAGTACATACTAAATAAAAATGTTCAGGAAAATTGTGCAAAATAATAATAACGGTTAAAATACCAGCTACATATATTGCTAAGTGTGCAAAAGCAAAACTTTTTTCTATTTAAAAATTATTTTCAAACCAAAATTTATTTAGTACACGCAGATAAAGCTTGACCAAGCTGCAAAATCAAGTTTAAAGTTCATACTTAAGTGTTTGCAATGCTGCAAGAGAAACACTTTAATTGCATTTTTTAATTAAATCGCAACAACTTCAAGTCCACTCCCTGTCTGCTTGTGTCTGTGGAAGATTTTCTAATATTTGTGCATTGCAGGAACACAAAATCATATACAAATGTATGTATGCACGGAAATACACACACATACATATACATATCTAATGCTGCCTCTAATGTGTGTGTTTGTATGTGTGCGCGCAACGGTAAAGTCTATAGACAGTGCTAACCCTAAAGCAGCATCCATGCGAGCAACACACATGCACAACCACATGAAAGCGCTTGCAATTACTCAACCAGCAAAGGTTTGTCCTTACACCCGCGCTACCCCATTCCATCGCCACATGCCACATTTATCCAGCAAACACAATAGTAAAGCGCCTGCCGCAGTCTCAGGCGTAGCCGACGTCTTCTAGGCAGGCAGGCAGGCAGGCGAGCAGTCAACCCCCGCTCTCTCCCTCTACACACATACATAAGTATATACATTTGTTGTATATCTGCATTTGCCAAACAACGGACTGACTTCGACGCCCGCCACCGTTAGTTGCATTTTACGAGACTCATACATGTACTTGTCAGCCGCAAGCACGTCCTTATTGATATTCGTAAGCGTACACACACACACACACGAATGTGTATGTGTGTGTGTGTTCGTGCCACGATTCGTGCGAGTCAAGGCGACCCTCGCGCAGGACACAATAGGAAGACACATTGAAATAGGAACAGGAATAACACTAGCAATACGCGCTGCGCATTCGAATACTTTAACGTCGCTGCTATTGTTGTTGTTATTATTGTTATTGTTGTTGTGTCGAACTTCAAACAAACAAAAAAAAAACAGCGGATTTTTTAATCAATACACTTTATAAGAGCACTTGCCTGGCTGGCTAGCCCGCTGATATGGCAACTGTATAACAGGATAACCAGCCATTGTCGTCGCGCCGTCGTGCTCGTTCGCGTACTCGTCATCAATAACGGCAGTGAGAGCATAGCACACAGGATACGAGATAACTTTATGGCACTCACTAAACGGGAGGCGTAGCCTTTAACATGCCGTATAACCTCAATGTGAGAGTGTCAATTAGAAGAGTCAAATAAAAGTTAGTTTATCACAGAGCAAAAGTTATCTGCATTTCCTGCTCTCGCCAAGCGCTACCACACACAAACGGTTAGGCGCTCACGCTTTGTGCGGCGAATTCGCCGGTTATTGCGCAAGAATGCGCTGCCAGGATAATACCGTTGGCGTAAATGTAAACAAACAAATGGGCGCGATAAAAATATACTTGTATACAATATATATGTATGTATGTGTATAAGTGATTTTAATTCATGTGCGCTCTCGGCGATTTGATTTAGTCGCTCTTTTTGCTCAACGTTTCATTGAAGTTCTGCTCGCTTCGAGTATTTGTCAATTCCGGGATGAAAATTGTGTGTGCCCACATATAAACAAGGCTAGTGATTTTATTCGGCTCTAAGTACTATAATGAAATTATCCTTTTACACAAACGCACACACACGTTACATTCACATATATGTATACAAATTTAAGTATTTGAAGGAGGATTTATCCGCAGCGAGACTGAACACACACAATTCCACAGACAGGCGTTAGACAAAGTTTATGTACTTAGATAAACTTAGATATATATCTATATATAGATAATATTTTTAGGGAGTGTAAAATAGAATTAATATAAAATCAGAAAATCAAGTTCCTTTTCTTCAATACGGCAAATATTTTGATACTTCTGCCACGAAAAATATTTCAAAATAATTGTTGAGCTAAAGAACAATTACCATCCGGGGTTTTTTATACATAAATATGTATGTGTACCCTTCAATTAAAGCTCTATTGTCAGCTGGTATTGAAATTAAAGACAATTTATTACAACTGTCGCTCTGAGCAAATATAAAAATTGTCTGCTAAAATGGTACCCTTGTAGAACTTAAATATACAGGTTGGTTGGCAAGTTTTACGTTCGAAATGAAAAAATACCGGCATTCGGTACGATATATATTTTTTATTCAATATAATCTCTCTTAACTTCAATACACTTATTCCAATGATGCTCCTAAAATTTTATGCCATCCCTGAAATGACTTTCTGGAAGCTCTGCAAAATACCCGCCTACGGCAGTAATAGCTTCTTCATTCGATGAAAAACGCTTTATACGAAGGAATTGTTACAGGTTTCTGAAGACGTAGTATCGCTGGTAGCCAAATCTGGTGAATACGGTGAATGCTCAAGCAATTCGTACTTTAATTCGTTGAATTTTGTAATAGTTAAAACACCTTTGCGAGCAGGTGTATTGTCTTGATGAAAAATGATTTTTTTCTGCTGCAAACCAGGTCTTTTCTCACGAATTTTTTCATCCAGCTGCTCCAAAAGGCTAAAATAATATTCAGAGTTGATTGTTTTACCTGTTTGCAGATAATTAATCAACAAAACTTCTTTTGCATCCCAAAAAACTGAAGCCATAAGCTTCTTTGCTCATCGTTGTGACTTCACCAGCTTTGGAGCTGAACAACCAGCTTCAGTCCACTGTAAACGCTCTAGTTTCAATTTAGGATCAAAGTAGTAGATTCAAGTCTCATTCATAGTTATAAAACGAGGCAAGAAATCGGTTTTATTCTGCTTAAAATGCTCCAAATTACGCTTCGATTCAGTTTTTGTTGAATTGTTAACGAGTGCGATACTAACTTCCCAAACAGTTTTTTCATATGTAATTTTCCATGTAAAATACGAAAGATTCGTTCGTCTGAGAAGCCTATTCAACGGTACGTTTTGAAGGTGAGGACTCTTTATACACTTCTAATAATTATTCATATATTTCTTTTACTCTTAAACCTTTCAAAACAAAGAATCTAATCACTGCGCCATATTCAATTTTTTCCATATTAAAAACTTCAAATGGCTTGTAAACAAAGAATTATTTGACAGAATCACTTGTTACTTTGCATGTGTTCTAACGACAGATGCACGAACTTCCGAAAAAAAAATTTGGAGCTAGTAGTTCTATTTCTTGGTGAGCACTGCTCACTTTTCAACCAACCTGTATATTGGTTCAGTCCATGCTATTTGCGAGCGAGAAATGATTTAAAATCTAGATAACGACTTTTCTTCAGTTGTTAAGACATGCTTCGAAATTTAATAATATTCAAAGGCGCTTTCTTTACAAAATTCTCAGAATGGTTTACCCACTCTTCTGCAATTTTTATCTTCTAGGAGGCCGCAACAGCCTCTAATATATTTTAATAATATCGAGTGACACAATATTAACTTTGGGTTTGTTCAAGACTGGACCACAAACAAGCCAACAGAGTCTAGATAAATGGGTGATTTTATTTCTTTATTTCTCACTATGCTTTCCCTTTTTTAAAGGTCAAACTTTTGTAGTAATATCCTCCAGTATGTACAGAACTATTGTAGATTGGGACCATATCTAATATTTTTTTTAAAAGAATAAAGTCCCCATTTAATTCTTTGAACCCTCATTCGATCTACTAATAATTGAGTACTCAAGACTTTTAGTGAAAATTGTCTTTATTAGGTGTAAGGGTACAATTTATTTTAAATTTTGACTTTTAGTGTTCTATATGTTATATATAATAATAATAGAGTTTTTACAAATCCTTTATATTAGGCAATTATCAATAATAGTCCGATTCTCTGAGATTTTCTAGTGCAATATACCAATCGTAAAAATATGCATAAAGTTCGCAAAGCCAAAGTAAACATAGTCTCTAATGTTGGAGAATTATAGACATTTCGTTTACTATACTTTGTTTTATAATAATAGAGATTAGAGAAAGGGATTAGTTATATAATCATTATATATTCGATAATTAACTTTGGTGTTTGCTGGGGTAGAAATATGATAGTAAATAATTATAATTATAATTATATTGAGTGCCTATTATTCTTATCTAATCACCAGAAATTATTCGCTAATTAATATAATTCTGCTGAATTGGATCGATAAGTGTTATGGTTTGTTTTAAAATATATTTCAAGTAACTATTAACAATCTTAACAAAACCTTTTTTATAAAGAGTAAAACTGAAAATAATTTATAAATTCACTATAGTAGGTGGGGCAATCTTACTCCAATTTTATCAGCTTGGGAACGAGTGGGCACCCTTTACGCTTCAGCGTTGGATTGATGGACCTCCCATTAGCAAGGGCTGGTCAGGAACAAAAAAATCTTATGCAGCTGCGAGATCCTTCTCGCTTAGAATGGACAGAATAGGTTCTCTCAACTACTTGCTCTTAGTTCAACTCGCCGCAATGGTAGGAGTTCTGACTGGACATTGTCGAATAGGCTTACATGCGGTGAGACTATATATCTTGTCGAATGAAAAGTGCCAAAGCTGTATGGAGGAAGGCGAAGAGAATTCATCTTGGCACTTTCTTCTTAAATGTCCAGCTTTTGTCAGACCTTCGTCCAACCTAGCACAGTTGCTGGCATTGATATTAGCCGCCTTAATAAATTTGTGTTAGGCTCATAAGGCATTGTCGGTCAATAAATGTCTGGTGTTTCATATCTACGGATTTTGTCAATCACAACGCATTCACAGCTGTCTAAGTGAGATTCCCCGTTACCTTTGGTACGAAGATCAACCCTACGACCTAACCTAACCATATAATAAAAAAAAATCTATATACTCCGTTAGAGATTTATCGTCTAGACACTCAGGGTCTTATTAACTAGAAGGAAGGAAAAGGAAAATTTAGTTTTATGGATTACGGCACATTCAAGCTTATCACGGCATAAACATATTGCTCACTCTTTCATTTTGTATTTAAAATGGCGTTTTCTATCAGTCTCTAACTCTTCGAAGTTACATTTATATTTACATTTAGCTCTAGACTCGGATTACGTCTTTGTATTTAGAGTAAGCACCTTTCATTATCCTTGAACAATATTTAAACCACTATTTGTGCTCACTGGGATACCATTGTTAGTAAAATGTGTGACCCCGCAATGTAGGCAAATAAACTCGGCAGCTTTTCAACCGAAGGGCATATTTATTTAACTTGCAGATTAAGGTTTAGAGCTGCTGCTGCCTCACTTGGATTGCTCTTTGCTTTTGAGCTATGTGCATGAATATCTATGATAATGTATGTGTGCATAAAAAGTAGGCGTGTGCGTGTAGGTGGGTGGCTCTATCTATTCACATTTCCATACCAATATAGCCATTAAAGAAAGCATGCAATAAATCTCAGTTAGATACACTAAAGTGGGCTATTTAAAAAGCAAAGTAGGTAGTAAAGTGCGAGAAATATGAATTGGAAGACGTCCAAGTAGTATGTAGTAAACACTTAAGATGATGGAGCGTAATATTGCACTCATAGACACATACATATATACATACAGTTTTGTTCTAGTAACATCGTCAAAGCACCTTCATTCATGCGATTCGCTTTAATGAAATGCATTAAGTGCTAATGTGTACACGTATAAACCATATATTGCGTATGTATGTAATCACGTTTCCACCAGCGAAGAATCGAAGTTAATGAGTGCCTCAGTGAGTGTCATTAAAATGCTAAAATGCATCAAAAGCGATAGTAAGGAAGCACGGCGTGCACCCTTACCAACGGATCGATGGTTACAGTCAGACAAAGTCGAAGAATAGAATGTCAAAAGGCAGCTGCGCGGGCGTAAACGAAGGACTTTTACGAAACTCTTATCGATGTATATATAAATTTGTTGGAAGTATAGTAGAACCCGTTTATACAGGGGCGTATCTGCGGCGATTTTTTTTGGGTTCAGAATTTAAAAAAAAAAAATTTAAGTTGTAAAAATAGCTGTTGGACATGGATTTATAGGCCTGAAGGCGCCAAGTACAGAATGGTCCGAAACTTAAGAAAAACACACACGAAGAAACGTTTACTTCGGCTATAATACCCTTCACCGTAGCATTGCTTATAGAATAAAAGGGTGTACAAGGCTTTTCAACTTGATTTTGATCGGCCAGTTTGCATGGCAGCTATAACTACAATATAGTGGGCCGAATGAACAATTATTCGATGATTATCGCGTTGCCATGTGCAATAAGTTTTCCATAGAAGGACTTGGCTTTGATAGATCTGTTTGTTGGCAGCTATATACTAGAGTGATCCGATCTGAACAATTTGTTAGATGATTACAAAATTACTTTGGCCATAAATCTCTGCCAAATAAAAGGGGTTTGATTTAAATAGATCGGTTTATATGGCAGAAACAGCATATAGTGGTCCGATATCTGCGGTTTCGACAAATGAGCAGATTCTTGGAGAGAAATAGATCGATATCTCAAAAAACGTGCGCATAGTTCGCGTATATAGACAGAGAAACGGATCTGGCTAAACTCAGAACTGATGGATACAGCTTGTCACTCTGATATGTTATATATTTATATACTTTATAGGGTCTCAGATGTTTCCTTCTGCGTATTATAAACTTCCTGGCAAACTTAATGAGCTCTGCTCAAGGAAGAAATACTTAAAGCATTGAAACTAGTAGTTAGATTACACTATAATTAAAATTACTGAAGCTTTCCATGATAAATTGAAAATTTCGCTGGTAAACCAAACCCAAATCCTAACCAAATATCAAATCAACCTATAGCCATAACAAATTTCGATATAGTGATATTTTTGGATATTTTTCAAAAAAAAAACGTTTAATTTGCAGAGAGAAAACTCTGTTGGTTTTTCTAACCTAAAATTAAAATAATTTATATCAATAAACTGGCAACAAATATTACTACTGACATAGCAATATCTTTGATTTTATATATCCCTTTGATTCTATAAAGTCTCTTCACTACTTAAGATGGTTAGGTATGTGGAACCAAATCTTTATATTTGATGAATTTTGGTTCGAAAAGCCGACGGGTCTCATACAAAGTCCGAAATATATCCTGTTCAGTATTATTGGAGCTCTAAATTTTCGGCGACGGAAAGTTTAGGAGCTACGAATTAAAGAATGAAATAAAAATTGTCTGAAGAAAGTAAAACATTCAACATTAGAATATATAATATATATTTAACTCAGCCGATATGGACTTTCCTGAGTTTAGTTAGTGGATACTTTTCTTGGTATATAGAACTTTTAGTATGTTGGCTTTTCAAAATTTTATTTTTCCCAAGAAATGGTTCAATTTTTCTACTGCAAAAGGTTGGTTAAGTTTTTCTACCGTGTGAAGTTATCCCTGGAAACAGATGGAAACATCCATAAACTTTCTACTCCATTGTCCAACCTTTGCAAGGCTAAAATGGAAATATCTCTGCAGCATTGCTTTCGGCGAAGTAAGAGACATCCCGCAGAAACTGATGTTAGTCGCCTTAAAAAATTGAGACCACTGTTAAATCGATCTCTTAACCTAACCTAAGCTTATCTATCCTTTGCTGATATCTGAATTTTAGCAGTAGTTTTTCTTGACGCTTGGTCAACAGAATGTTGGTCATAATTTTATACTAGTCAACAGTTGAACAGTTAATTACTTTACCTTGAGGCTGAACTATAGTTCTGGTACTTAATTAAATATGGACCTACATCACTTTTCAGCTACTAGTATAAATTTAGGTTCTAAGCCGAGAACCGAAAGTTCTGCATAAAATTTAAAAAGAAAATTTCAAAATATCTCCGGAATAAGTAATTGCACCCCATTTCAACTCCTCGGCCGGCACTGATATACTCGTATGCGTCTTATATGTAATGCTGGTATCAGAAGAAGACATGATGAACAGGGAGACATGTTGAGGACATGACTGAATGGCAGTCAAGCGACGCCGACACTTCAAGTATCACTCGAGATCATGATCTGTGGGTGTCTTGTGGTTGTTGGTGTACATCTTTTACCAGAAATTGTCTTTGCATTTGCATTTTTTTGTTGTTTTTATTTTGTTGCACTCTTGACACACTTCCGGTACTTTGTCAAACACAAGTACAAGTGTGTGTGTGAGTTTCTGGGTATAGGAGGCCTTAATTTAAATATGTGTAGGTGTGCTCCAATTCACGAAAACAAAAGAAGTTCTCTTTTTAAATTTCATTTTTTCTTTACTCCCTTTTTTGCTTTCTTTCTTCCCTTCAACAATGTATCCAGTGTAAAGTGTTATGGTGTGTGGCTTCATTTCCTTTTACGAAAAAGGTTCAGCCATTAAAGAACACAACGACAACAACAGCAACAGCACATACATCTATCGCACAATCGCAACATTAGCATCAGCATCAGCATACAGCAACCTCCTCAGCTCTTTGGCTGATAACATCGGCGGCGCTAACGTTGTCACCTCGGTTTATTTGTTTGCGGAACGTCGCATCTCCGCACTTCATCACCGACCGTCACGTACGCGCTTGCCCTCTCACCTATGCGCCTCTTGGACCTGATAGTCACCGTGTGTTAAAGTGTGTTGTTGGTTTTGTGTTTATATGAGTATGTACTTAAGCTCGTAAACGGATTTAAGAAATTCACAAAAGGAAAGGAAAGTGGCAAGCGTGTGAGAAGAAACCGTAACGTAACGAGAAGGCGTTGCGAAAGAGACATTAAATTAATTGGGGCTTTTGTGTGAAAATGGGTGATTATCATCATGAATATACGGACCAATATAGGGTGCCGGTCATCGCGAAGCTTTTGCATGCATTGCCGCACTACAACATCACTTTCCACAAAATCAACAGCACATTTCGCCCGAATGATGAAATCTATTTGGAGGTGAGTGTGTATAACAGTATTTACCTTTGTGATATACGTAATTATAATATTTTCATAGGATTTTTGTATAAAAATAGTCATTATTTTTTGAACCGTTTATTTTATATTGCTTTGCCAGTAAGTTCAGAATCTCTCCATATAATTCTATTGGCAAACTCTGATATTATCACATAATTTATATATCTAAGAATATGTCCTCCAAAGATGACTCTTTAACTTTAATTAAAAGACCATTGGAGGTCATTTTCTTCTTCTGCAATCATCAACTTCCATCGACTTGGGAATTATGATGAACTTTCTTGCCCAAAACCTAACCGTAGGTGGGGATTTCAGTGAGAAACGTATCAAAAAGGATAGAGTCAAGATTGGGACTCGATTGCAAAAGACAACCCACAGACAAACTACATTTATCATTATAAAGCCTTTCCTTAGTTTTTTACCTTCTTTGTTACTGCAATCGTGATTTGGTCTGGGCCGAGAGGGTCCCTATGCACTTTGTCCAGCATCGTCTTTCATGCTTACAACATGGTATAACTTGCGCATTCATTCGATTTTTTCTGCGCTTAACTACTTATACCCATGTCGCTGAAGAGCTTAGACAATTCGTGATCCCATCTCTTCGGTACTCACTCCGAAGTTCTTGCAGAGTACAGTTCTCTCGAATACTCTAAGTGCTTTTTCATCTCATCATTGTCCATGTTTCTGCGCCGAATGATAGGATGAAGATGACAAGAGACTTATAGAGCGTAATTTCTGTTAGTCGAGAGAGGGATCTGCTTCTCACTTGCCAACCGATCCCAAAGTACTTGTTGTCAAGAGGCATTCTGCGCTTGATATCCACGCTTGTTCGTGATATTTATGATGGTTCCAAGATAGACAAAGTCCTTCACTTTTTCAATATTTTATATATGTCAACAGTGACGTATTTCTCAAGATGCGGGAATCTGTATGTGTGGCCTCCAGGTATTCCCAGGCTTTCGTGTTCCTTTCATTAGAATTAGCGATGAACAAAATTGGTATTTGGTCGACAGTGAACTGAGAATTCTGCATCAAGGAAATACAAGAGCATTTGCCCTCGAGTGCGTAGCAATTGCAAAATGAAGGGGGGATGCAATTATTATAAAAAATTATTAAAAATGCGAAAATACAAATATTAGTGAAGTTATCGAATCAAAACTTAGTAAAATTACTGTTCATAATGTATGGTAACTCTTTCCCAAAAATGATCGAAGTGATCGGTAGATATCTTTCCCTTACTTCTATAATAATAAGATATCTATCCATCCGATCGACCTGCTTAAGTGATATTTTAGATAAAATCCATAAAATATTATATAATACCCTTCACAAATACAAAAGATCCCTTACAAGGACATGATTTCTATCGTTCAGCTTGTATGACAGCCATATGCTATAGTGATCCGGCGGTTCCGACAAATGAGCAGCTTCTTGGGAAGAAAAGAATGTGTATTCAAAATTGCAGATCGATATCTCAAGAACTGTAGAACTAGTTCTTGTATATACAGACAGTCAGACAGACGGACATAGCTAAATCGACTCAGCTCGTTACGCTGATCATTTATATATATATATTTTATAAGGTCTCCGACGTTTCCTTCTGGGTGCTACATCGTGGCAAACTTAATATACCCTGTTAAGAGAGTTAGTCGGCACGCCCGGCAAACTTTAAAATAGGTTACAGTACTAAGAAAAATATATTTTTGAGACTAAATAAGTAAGTAAATTCAGCATACAATTTCAATCACAACTTTGCCTAAAAAATAATTATGTCTTTTACGCATATTTTAAAAACTAATAATATATGCCTATATAATACTTAATAAACTGTATGCCTCTCATTTACAGAGTTTGGGTATATTGGGTTCCGTGCCGGCCGCGCTCCTCATCATATCCCTACTTGGACTGCTGCTCTACTTAATGACACGATGTTGTGATAGAAAACCGCGACCAGCACATTCCATTACAAGTTTGAAAGTTGCTCTCTCCATTGTAACGGTAATGTGCTGTGCGGCGATAGGACTCGGTAAGTATTTTCGAAATTTGAAATTCTGCTCTCAACTTAATTAAAGCAAAGGTTGTGGACGCTTGTGGGTTGTCTAATAGAAAAAACAACAAATAATAAAAAGGTGAAAAGTTTGTCTCTGACACAAAAGCTCTCTTTTTTTGTCATAATTTCATTAAATTTCCATAAAACTGGCAAAGTTGATAATAAAACTAATTAATGTGCACTTTGTACAAGTAAACTTGTTATATATATTTTTTTTAGTTTTATTGCACAGAGTAAAGTGAGTTGTTATTACAATTATGTTTGAATTAGGTGTGTCCACTTTGGTAAGGGATTACTTTGATGATTGGCAGTGGCACTCCTTCTAAACGGGAGTACATTTCAATAACAACTCAAACGAAATATGTATATATACCTTAGTATGTACTCGTATGTAAATTTATTGGAGTATTAGTATAATGTCACTAATCGCATAATAGTTGAAGTATCGACGCCGAACCGTAGGTAAGCATAGGCAAATGTAGTCAAAAGCCAACCCTTACAATTCAGCCAAACATATGAAAAGGCAAACATCTTTAAAACATGAAATAAAAGTACAGTTATTTATTACACAATAATATATGACTTGTAGTTTGGACTTATCGATGATGAATATGGCTGTAAAGCGTGTTGCACGCTATTCGATAGTCAATCATCAAGGAATACAGGATTTGATTTGTAAAATTATGTTGTTGTTGGGTGAGCTTTAGGGTGTTGGTCAAATGTTTACGGATTTTAAAGGAAACTCCAAGAACGGACTCAGCAAATGAGTGAGAAGCTTCACTAGGCAATATAGGTATGTGTGTATTTGTCCCTCTTTATTGCCTAGAATATGTGATATTTAGATTCGCTATTTCATTCCAAGAAGAGCTGTCGCCCAATTCTAAAAGCATTCGAGTTAATATTTAGTAGCAAGTAAAAAATTCTGTGAGTCTAGGTATAAATCCTAGTATATAAATCGGAAATACTCATTCGCTATTGTACAAATTTCTTTAATATTCCCATTGAAATACCTTCCAATTATCTTTTTCAGGTTTATATGGCAACGATGATCTCCATAATGGACTGCTTGAGGTGCTGACCGCCGGACGCAAGGTTGATAATTTGGTTACCACCATACGAAATCAGACGCACATACTGGAGAATACTTTGAAGAATCGCATTCGGCCACAACTCGTTGAGTTGGCTGATATTTTTGACCAACCTGTCGCCAACCAGACCGCACTCTCCATACTCTTCGTTTCACTAAATATTGTGCAGGGCAATGTGACGCTAGCCACTAACGCGGCTGGTGATATACGTCGACCGTTGTTGGGTATTTCTATGACACAGTTTTTGTCGGTATGTTTGGACTTATAATACCCCTTTGATGTTTACTTTTACAAAATATCTGAATCAATTTAATGTCTTAAAATATTTTACAGCGTGGCGATCAGTGGGAACTTATACGTTGGCCGGGCACTGTGGCCACTCTAGCGCTACTATTGGTACTTTGTGCCGTTCTATTGGTGGGCGTGGCGCGTCATTCACGTTGTGCACTCATATTATTCAGCGTTTGCGGCCTACTTGCGGTCACCGGATCTTGGTTAATGTCTGGTCTCTACCTTTCATCATCCGTTGCTGTGGGTGATCTCTGCATTAATCCCGCTGATTTCCTAGTCTCCACTTCGCCACGTGATCTTCCAACTAATGTTCTACTTCATTACACTCAATGTGAACCCGGTCACACTAATCCATTCACACAGCGTTTGCGTGAGTCGCAAAATTCGCTCAACAATGCACGCAGCGCCATGGCTACGGTAATGAAAATATCATTGGTGCTCTTCAAGTCGTCGGGTTTACAGCCGAAATTGGGCGCGGTCAATGCAGATTTGAATAGCAGTGAGCGTTTGCTAACTCAACTCACAGCTTTGGTGGACTGTAAGGCTGTGCATCATAACTTCTTGGCCGCCGCCAGAGGACTCTGCGAAGGTGGACTGCTCGGTTTGGTATTGATGTTGATTGCGAGCTTTATTGCCGCGATCCTTTTGACGATTATGGTTTGGGTTGACTCGCACACATGGATCTATATACGAAAGCGTAATGACTATGCACAGGTCGATGAGCCGTCGTATATTTCACATCCGGCACCACAGAATCATCAACAAATGATGAATGCGGCACGTACATTGCCGCGCAACCACAACGGGTGAGCATGTCCCTCATGTAAGATTTGTTTAAATTTGTTTGTTCGAACCTCTTTTGCAGGCACTTCAGTCCGCCGGTGATCAGTGGCTCGCACACCTTGCAACATCCGTCTAAGCGACAGCAGCACGAGATGATGGCGCACGCGCACATGCAGCAGAACATGAGGGCTATGGGCACGCATACGTTGGGTCGTTTGCCGTCGCACAATCATAGCCCTACCCACTTGACTGGTAAGTGTGTGTGAAGCCAAACGTTTTTCATTCGGCCATCACTCGACCTCCATCTCTATGAACTCTTCAAAGTAGTATATTCCATTTCCAATTTTTCTCACTGATCAAATATATCACGCTTTCACGTTATATTCCTCACTCACCTCCACGCCTGTCCGCCTCTCATTCCTCACTAACATAATCTACGCCCAATTTGCAGGTCCCAATAACGGTAAATATGCTACATTAAGCAAACAATGCAAAACTTTGGAAGCCAATGATTTTTACTGAAAATCACCAGTAGCCTGTAGCGATCCAGCACGAAGTCAACCGGCACTCCAGCAGCAACAACAAGCGGCACAGCAACAACTCGCCCAGCAGCAAGCTCAACAATTGGCCGGCCAACCGATCTATTGTCACCATCCGCATCCACATTCGCATGCCGCTGTCGCCGCTGCGGTCCAACACCAACATGCCATCTATCATCAACAGCAACAACAGGCAGCTCAACAATATGGCACCTATGCCACAGCAGCTCATCCAGCACATCACATGACAGCGGCTCAACAAGGTCAAATATATCAACAGATACCGGCACACATTGCCGCATTGCAGCCAAATGGCAATCCGCATTCGATCTATCAGCCTTTGGTGGCTGTTAGTCAGGGCTCAATTTATGTCTCGAATATGGCAACGATGCGTCGTCAGAATTCACAGGGCCAAGGTCATCCACAAATACCAGCTCATCATGTACCGCCGCATCAGCAACAGCAGCCACCACCACCAAACCAACAGCAGCAACAGTCACACAATCAAATGAAGTCGCCACAGGATGGTTTGCATCATCGCGATATACCTGCCACATCGGGTATGGATACGGCAATCTACGACCGTGATAAACAGATCTACAAATGTTCGACACTGCGTCAAGGTGGCAAATTTGATCCCAAGTATAAGCCTTCGATCTTGAATTGCCCATTACCTGAGATTCCAAAAGACGCAGATCCACCTAGGGTTGAGTCAATTTATCAACAACAACAGAGTTACTCGAAGTAAGTGGCTTATTTATAGTTATGTAAAAAATTTACTCTCACTCAGTTGCATATGGTAAGCATTAGTATTCCTAGTATGGATTGTTGAAACTTGTATTCCTTTCCACTTCTCAAACTCTTATTACGAAAGCTCTCCGATTTGTGAACGGTTTCGGTTTCTTTAAAGTAAATTTTGTATTGCATGCATTGGTACAGATGAACTTCTTATTATAAGCCTTTTCTAGGAGCTTTTACAATTTTAAGAATTTTCTTTTTATACCGTTCCTCGATTTTTAATGTAAATCCGTAAAATTAATATTGTATTCTACTTCTGAAACTGTTATTACAAGCTTTTTCCAAGAGCTCTTCTATTTTTGAATACTTTTAATGCAAATCCCAAAAATTAATATTCTATTCTACTTTGGAAACTGGAAACTATTATTACAAGCTTTTTCTGAGAGCTTTCCCATTTTTGAATACTTTCGGTTCCATTAAAGTAATTTTTGTATTGCATGATGTGAGGTTTCATAGTTTTTAAAGCTTGACTATTGTTGCACTAGTCTTGAATGAAATGTTCAAAATGAATATTGTATTTCACTTTGGAAATACATATTACCAGCTTTTTTATGCGAGCTTTCACATTTTAAAGCTTTTTTTTTAAACAATTCACTTAATGCCTCGATTTTCAATATGCATCTTATGAAAATTTTTATATCCGAAGAAATATATATACAAATTTTACACCAGCTTTTTACTTTGGGGATAACCCCATATTACATGAATATTCGATTGTCAATCTAAGCATAATGTTAGTGTAGTAGGACAACGATATCAATCTACGGTGAGGCAGTTTAAAAACTGGACATTTATACTGATAAGTTATTTAAAAATTGGAATTGTGATAACGCCCTAATATTGTTTTCAAAGTTCGGTACCTCGTAAGAACGGACCACAATTTCTTTCAGATCAGATTATCCCGGAACGGGGCGACTTTTTGGAATAACTGGAATACGTATTAAATATTTTAAAAATCAGTCTCCTAGGAGTAATACGACCCGTTCATTGTCATTCAATTTAAATGTTAACGACGGAAATATTTCCCTTGCTCAGGCTAATTATCATTAGAATGAGGTTTTATTAAGGAAACCCCTCTGAAATACAGCGACCCTTTCATTAATCTTTTGTTTAATCTTGTTTTAATAATATCCTTCAGTGATTTTATCAAGTGAAAGGTTAATGGTCCGAAAAGTGGACTTTGCTGTCCCAATGTCTATAAAATAATGTAAACTAAAAAGAAACGTTAACTTCGGCTGCACCGATGCTATACACAGATGCATTTCTTATAGCATAAAGGAGTAAAAAAAGATCTTTAACTGAATTTTGATCTGTCAGTTTAAATGACAGCTATATGCTTTCGTGGTCTGAGTTTGTATGGTAGTTACATGCTATAGAGGTCCGATATCGGCGGTTTCTACAACTGAGCAGTTTCTTGGAGAGAAGAAGATGTGCAAAATTTCATACGAATATCTTTGAAAACGAGGGGCTAGTTCGCGTATATGCAGACAGACGGATATGGCTAAATGCAAACTTAATATACCCTGTTCAAGGTATAAAAAGTGGGAAAGTTATGCACATTAAGTTCTGGATCTTTTCAACTGAATCTTTTGAGTATTTGGCATTATTCGATTCGTAAATAAATTGTTCTTGCTATATAAGGAGGTTCTAGGAAAGTTTTCTAGACCGATCAGCTAACAGTTGGCGTTCGATTACTAAAGCAATTTTTCAGTTTTCTTTTTTTATACACAACTATTATATAATTTATGTTATCTCTTTAAGAAAGAAATGGTGGCAAAAACAAAATCCTTCCTTTACTACTTTAAGTAATTCTTAAACTGTAACTATGTAAATCATTTCTCCCTTCTGCCTGCCAATTCATAAAAAATGACTAATGATTAAAAAAACACCATTGTGTAATTTATTGTGTCACAGGACGCTGCAACGGCCACCCATGAAGCTGCCACCACAGATGAAAGCCATACCACCGCCACGAATTGGCACACCCACCTCGCCGCCGCCACCGAACGTGAATGCGCACACTGACCACCCACAACATGCGGCCGCACAACAGCAACAACAACAACAACAGCAAATGCAAAATGGTGCAGCGACAGCAGTGGATAATCGACAGGCGAACGACGATTCATCATTACCCCTGCCACCGCCACCACTAGAGGCCACAACGGATGTGGGTAATGTCGGCGTGAGTAGTGGTGTTGGTGTTGGTGTTGGTGGTGGTGGCGTTGGCATCGCTTCACCACCCAAGCCTGGTCATGGATTGAATAATAACAACAATAACAACAACATAAACTCGAAAAGTAACAACAGCAACAGTCAACAAAACAACACCAACAACGGCAGCAGCAATGGCAGTAGCAACAATAGCAGCCACGTTGGTGGCAACAATGCCGGCAGCAACAATAGTAACGGCGCCAATACATTGCCCCTACACAATGGCAGTTCGGCGAATAATATGGATGATGATGACGACTTGCCGCCACCACCACCGCCCGCCATCACCGACGACTCCAACTATGCCGTGACGGAACTGTAAGAGGCAACGACCCAAAAACGTATGAGCGTACAAAAACAAGAAAAAAGTGAAAAACAAAACACGTAAAAAAACAATTTCTTTGAAATAGTTTAAGTGAGACTTTTGACTTCAAGACTAATTTGTCGTATGTGGGGGACGTCGGAAAGCAATAAGTATGGTACTCGTAATCTTGCGCGCGGGCAGCGGTGCGGTGTGACGCTTACAGGCACACACATACACACTGCCGTTGTGTTGTGTCGTTGTTTCATAGTTGGTGTAGTTGTAGATTTTAAGATTCCAGTTAATGTTGTTGTTACGAATCTGGGTAATATAAAGGATAATGCTTAGACCTAAATACATACATATATACATTGAAATATATACATACATAAATAACAAAAGATGAGTAATACTTAATTCGAGTAGATAAGCACGCATACATTTATACTATAGTAAGCATATACACATGCACACATATATACATACATGTATATGTGTGTGTGTCATAGTACATAGTAAGCAAATAAGTAAATAAATAAAAAAAATATGTAACTGAATAGTTGAAAGGAATTAATGAGATTTAATGGTGCATTTAAATTTAAATTTATTACAAGTATACAAGGACGCGACGAAAAGTAGACAATTGCCGCCGAAGAGCAATTCGTGAAACTTAGCGAAAAAATCGAAACAAACGTGTTAGGGTTCAGCAATGCTACAGGCTAACTGAAAATGGTTTGAAATTATTTGTGAATAAGTAAGAATTGCTAAAAGAATTATATGTAAGTAAACGGAAGAAACGGTGGAGAGTATCTCAATATGAGGTTAGCGGATATAAAAGCAAAACGATATTTTTAAAATAAATTATTAAAAATGTAATTTAAATATAATACTATTTTTTAGTTTATACTTTTTAAACATTATTTCTATTAATATATTATTTATTTTTAGCTTTTCAATTAAAGTTTATTTAATATTAAATTCTTTTCCAGCAAGTATTTTAACACAAGAAATGTATAAAAACGACAACGCGTATGTAAAAAGTAAAGATAGAATTTTATGAAAAATATTTGTAGCATAGCACGGTTTTTAATAGAATCTATGTACATATAACTATTGTACTTATATAATATACTTACATATATATTATACATATAAGGCTAGTACTAAGTAAGTACAATATTATATAGTGTGTATCAGCAGGCATAACCAGTAAAACCCTTATTGTTTGTTTTTGAAAAGTATATTTTTCGAATACTTCAATATAGATCATCTACAGAGCATGCAATTATCAATAAATAAAAGCTAATTAATTCGGCAATACTTTTCGATCTTCTTCGTGCAATTCACTCGGTTATTGGAAAAGGCATTAGCTGTCGGCCAACCAAACCTCTGTCGAAGGTCAACTTCACTGTCAACTTATATAATTTTTATGAGAAAAATTTCAAATTTGTCAAATGTGAATTACCTAAATGATCTTGGTTTTAAATCAAGCATCTCCTGCTGAAACACCACTTATAATCCGAAATTAAATAATCTAAGAATATGATTTTGGGGCAAGCACACATTGATTATGATCCTTTGATACTTAAAGTCAAGTCTTCCTGAGCAATTTTTTAATTACTGCTAATATATTTGAACAATTTCTTAAGTTCTTTAGGCCAGCTCATAAGTATAATACATATTTCCATTCCAGTAGGCCAAAAAACAAATAAGAATGCTTTTTCAGAACATTTAGGTTGAGAAAAATATATATAACAAATTTAAAATGTTAAACTTAATTGGATGTTCGGTACCGTTTTATACTTAAGGGGTTATACCCACTTGCAGGTCAGAAAAAACGCACAGAATTTGGTGTACTTTAATAATCGGTAATACATTTTGAAAAAATTTAAATCGATTTGACTCCTTCGCGATCTCCAGTAGGACCTCCGAAAAACGTTGTTTCGTTGTGAGGAAGATTTTTCTGCTTAAAATACTCAAACCAAAAAAAAAAAAAAATTATTATTACGATATGTATATTAATACAGCTAATTATAAAAGGTCCAGTCAAAATTTTGATTTTTGCAAAATGGCAACTTCCCAAAAAAAGTCGATTTTTGTGAACAAATTTAGACTTCAAATTATTATCAAAAATCTTATTCTTTCTATTATTAGCTAACAAAAATAATTTAAAAAGTCGATCTTTTAGCCATTTCGGAGAAATTTTCCAAACCGACTCTGAAAACTGCGTCTCGAGAAAAACGCATTTAAAGTAAAGCCGATCAACTTCAAATTTTCGGAGAATATTTTCAAATATATGTATGTATGTACATTCGAAAGCAAAAAACAAATGATTTTTTTAAATTCACAAGTGAATATACTCCCTTAAATGAAACTCTTAATTTAGCGCCTGATGCTATTTGTTAGACTTAGGGCTGATTCTTTTGAACTTCTCAATTTTTGGAAAAAAAATTTATATAAAAAGGAGGCAAAAGGCGATATCGTGACCTCTTTAGGTTATTTTAAGTCTATTTTCTTCTTTTACTGTTCCGACAGTTTAGTAAAAAAATACCTCGATTCTTTATAACCATAATTAAATAAATTATTTAGTATAGAGGGTCACACCATCGGATGCGTCGCATTATTGAATATTAATTATCAAATTGATCAAAATGATAACAAAAAAAAATATTTTAATAATTAATCTGACTACCCCTAACACCTTAAACCTCCCATATTGAAATTCTATGGTTTCTTGAGCAGACCATTTCAACCACTAGTAAGCTCAAAGAAGCTTCGCTCGAGAAACCTTGACAATATAAAAAACGGCTTGAAATTTTTTTAATATAACTATTTTGTTTAGCCAATATGTAACAACATATTTATGAGATTTCAACTTTATTATAAAAAAAATTTTAGATTTTGCGTAGCAACTTAAGTCATGGAAGAAAGGTGTTTTACATTTAAAATTCTGTTCCTCAAGTTTTAATTATATATTACTATTCAATTTGTATTTTAACAGATCAAGTGTTTTACCCCAATTGTATAGCCTTTAAAATCTGTAAATATTAAAAAATGCATGCATTGGATACTCTTGATTTTTCTGTAAAAAGACCCACTTGGAATTAGAATGATAACAAAATAATAAAAAAAGCACAAAGTAAACAGAAACCAAATATATACTTATATATTACATAGAAAACGGTTAACTTACGCCAATATTATGTAAAAAAACTGAGTGTATGTAGTAGTTTTAACGGGTCTTCCAATTGTAACAGAGATCCAATGCATTTAAAGGTAGAGAAAACGAGAAAATATATATACATAAATATATTCAATAATAAAAAATAATGCAACGTTCGAAATGTCTTCAAAATTGTAGGCAACTATATAGAAAATAATATAACAACAAGCAAGCATAAGAAAAAACTAAAAAAATTGTGCAACGTTTGGCGGAAATTTGGAAAAATGCGACTTGGTATGTTTAGATCATCCTGGACCAATTATGTATCTACTAATTGCAATAAACTGATTATGTAACTGAAACACAACACTGCTAAAGACGTTAACGAATGACTTTTGTATATATATATATATATACATATACATACTATATGTATACAGCAAACAATTTACCGATATTTATAGTTATACAAATATTATGATAGCGCATGCTTACATAACTAATATAATTAAATTTAAATAAAATATACTACTACATAATTAATTAACGAAAATTTGAAGAAAAAATAATTTTATTAACGAATTCTTTTGATAAAAGCCTCACACACAGATTTACCATATATATACACACACACTAACAAATAGATAAACCAATAAGCTTACACATACTCACACATATTATATTGTATGTGTTTTTGTATAAAATTTTTACATACTTACATAATATATACAAACATACAAAGTAATAAATATACTACAGCAATACAAAATACATTTAATATACCATATATTTACATTTGACAAATTCCCTTTTCTAAACGAGTATCAAAAGAATACATACTCGCTTAAAATTTCGCCGAGAATTTCGAGAAAAGAAATATTGGCAACTCGGAAATTGTAAATTTCTCTCAGAATTTCAAAAAAAAAAACAAAAAACTTTTAACAACTCAGAAGTTAACAATTTTAGAAGATAGACAGAGAGAGAGAGAGAGAGGCTACGGTGTCGTTACTTTAAATGCATTTTCTATTTTAGCGAGTATTCTATTGCTTACAGGAGAAGTTGGCCATTGTATAACCATATAAATATACCAATATCGGCAGTATATATTTATTTCTACAAACATTAACAGTTTTACTAATAACGAATTTTTGAGTCGTTTTTTTATTCAATTTTTGAAATACAATATACATAAGTACGTTTTGAAGGCCAAACATATTGACGAAATTTTGTAGTTGATATTTTTTTAGAAACTTTATAAAACGAACACATTGTGGAACCTAATGAGGCATATATTCAAACGAGGCATTTTTCATATTGCACACGAGTCTATAACTTGTCGTAGCTTTTTAAAAGACAGATTATGAAGCGAAAGAAACTCTTTAAATATGGCTTAGTTATTCCCATTTTTTGAGATATCGACTTGAAATTTTGCCAAAAAGCTAATCATTAAACGGAAACGCCAATATCAGAATACTATAGCATATAGCTGCCATACAAAATTTTTTATTTGAAGAGATATCTTTTCGAAATTTGGCATAGATTATTGTCCAAGACAGCGGTATAATCTCCGAACAAATTGTTAAGATCGACTCACTATAGCATATAGCTACCCTACAAACTGACCGATCGATATCAAAATAAAGGTTTTTTATACCCTTTTATGCTTTAAGAACTGCACCTGGGAAGGCTATTATAGCTTCGGTGCAGACGAAGTTAATGTTCTGTTTTGTTTTCATAATAATATCATAACTTTTTAATTTTCTTTTAACTCTTCTATTTTCAATCTGTGAATTTTAAATGACTACTTCTTCCTCCAATAATTGACGCAATTATTGCGTTGTCTGAAAGGCCAGTCGATTTTTGGCTTATAGGCTATTAAATAATAATACTCATCATATTTTAACACTTGACATTATTATTAATATTATCCACAAAAACATAAGTATGTTTAAACTTGCTCATTCAATTACATTAGAGTGTGTATTTCGCAAGCAACGATTGAAATAAAATTTTTCATTTTGGTACTTTTCATATATTGCTCAAATATTGACACATATTACAACCAAGGCAATGAAACCATAGCAATCATGAATATTTAGTATACACAAACAAAATAGGCTGATCCATTTCAACTTTTGAAGCGCCAAGAATTTTTTAGAAGCAAAAAGTAATGAAAAAACAAACAAAAAAATTAATCATTAAATAAATATTAATAATAAATAGAGACAAAAAACATTAATTTTAAACAAAAAAAAAAACATCGCTAAAATATGGCAACACTAAAATTGTAGCATTTGCCGCACATCCATACTTTTCATTCCAACATTTAAGCGAGACCACACTTTTAGGCGTGTCTGTCACATAAAGATTGATTAATCCAATGGCTAACAATAAAATGTACAAAATATTTTGTATAAAAAAGATAAATAAAATAAAAAAAAAATACAAAAATTATATTTATTCTTATGTATCACTTTTATATTCGCTTTATTACGAAATAAGGTTATGTGTTATGAGTAGAAAGAATAATTGAAAAGCATGTAAGATAGTTATATAATTAATAATGGGTATAAAAAACAAACAGTTAGACGAGTTAAGAAAACATTTAAAAAAAAGTAGAGGTACAATAAATATGTTTGGCGACGATTAATATAAATGTTAAATAATATGGAAGAATTAAGTGTGTGTGGAGCAGAGGCTTTGAAAAAATTCTATTTTCACGCGACAAGTGAATATTTCTATTAAATATTTAATTAAGTGACAAAAGAACTGATTTTTTTAAATAGCAAGATTTTTAAGTTTTGTAAGTTAAGAGAATTACGCACAGTTTCATTTGAAATTATTGAGTATTATTTTTTTGTGGTTTCCTTATTCACATTGGCAAGCAATTTGGATTAAGCGCATATTACATAAGTAATTGCAAAAGTTGCATATATACACACATACACATATAAATATTATATAACAATGTAATCGTAAAATCTGTGTTAAATGTTGTCGTGCTCCTTGTAGTAGTTATAAATTATAAATAAATAAAAATAGATAAAATATAAATTTATTATAAGGAAATGGAATTCAAGCAGCGCAAACGAGTATATATATTAAATTTAGGTACTTGTGTGTTTAACTACCAAAATTGAGTGTATTAAATAAATAAAAATTAAAAAAAAAAAATATTAAAAAATATAATATTTATTAAAACTAATAGCTAAATAAAATCTTAAATATATTTTTTTTTATACTAAGCCAAAATATTTGATAAAAAAAAGTATTTTTGTTATTTGTAATAAAAATAATTTTACAATTTTTTTTCTTTAAGGCTGCTCTGTTTTTAAATTGCGTAAATAAGTATATATTTTCTCACTCGAACATTATGCGTGTTATAGTAGTTATAAATACATACATACATACATTCATATGTATACAGTAGTATTTTTGTAACATTATTTGTGTGTTTAAAAAATATCCTGTTTTCATGTGTTCCTTAAAAAAAATATATACATAAATACAAAATTTTAGACATCAGAGTAGAAGTAAACAGCTACTGCTACGCTATTTAAATGCATAATGTAAATATTTATTTAAAAGACTTATTGAGTTTAGACAAAGGCTTTTGTAATGCTCAAGTCCAAGCTTCCTCGTTTTTTCAACAATTTAGTATATATATATTTTATATAACTAATGTCAATACACCACTTTTAATATGCATGTGTAAATATGCATAAATATACATACATACATATAAAGGCAATAAACTAAGTTGTAATAAAATTTGGCGTTTCAAAAATGTAGACATGTAAAATGTATGTACGTAAGCAGTTTCCGTAATTAATATAAGAAATAAGAATGAAAAACCGATTAATAAGCACAAACTATATTGAAATATTGAAAGGAATTCGGCAAACAAAATGTAGCAGTAAATATAGTAATAAAATTATAATGCATATAAAAGTCATGATTTCATTATATTATATTATAATTTTGAGTAATTATTAACACAAAAATAAGAAGAAGAAAAACAGTACAGAAAGTGTTGACCAAACATACGCATTAATTATAATAATGAAAAACAATAAAACTGTGAAAAATATGATAAATAAAAAAAAAAAATAATACTTACAAACATGTTTGTTCTATGAGTGTAATGCGATAAATTTTACGTGAGTGCACGTCGTTCCGACTCGTTTCGAGAATCCGTCTAGGATTCGTTTAAATTTCTCGCACTTTCCATTGCATATACTTTAATAACGGGAGCACACACTTTTACTACTAAATAACTAACATTACAAACTTTTTATTTAATTTTATCTTTAATAAATCTAAATTATTTCAAAATATGCAAATTATTTGAAATTACCCAAATTATTTCGAATTAGCAAGCAGACATTTGCACTTGCAAGCCTCAGGCACCACAGAGTTGTTGGTGATACTGCTTTCAATTGTCATTCATTCACAAAAACTTCAATGTTTATTCAAATCTTACGCTCGCCATATTTGATTTTATTAAAACATTTCTGTAGATCATTAATAAGAAGTAATTGTATTGCAATAGTTAAATCAAATTTTGTGCCGTTTACTCGTGTCGTGTGGAAATTAAAATGGCGGCTGCACAAAGGAAATGAGGAGAAAAGCAATAAGAGGAAATGTGTGGATGCCATGACTAAATTATTATTTATTTAATTAAAGAATTATTCATTTATTTTTTATTTCAGTAAATTTTTTTAAATTAAAATCTAGGATTAGCATAGCCTTAAGACTAAAAAGTTCGGTTTAAACACATATCTCCATTTTTTCTACAACTTACCGTTACGATAAAAATCGCGTCATTTTTTTTTTGACCTTGAGTAGTTTTTTCTCTACATATCGGAATGATGAGGAGTTTCAGTATGTTATATGAACTTGGTAAGGTAGCTTCTACCGCTCCTTAGCATTTGCAATTCAAATTAATTTTTTTGTATTATTAATAATAGTGAGTATACTAAAATTTTAAATTAATAAACAATTTTAAGCGATCAGGCATCTTTATAAGACAGGAAAGTAAAAATCGAACACTAACAAAAAGTAATTTCCGATTTCCGCATTATACGCATATTCGCCCAAATATTACGAGTTTGAATAAGTGGCGCGCAATTTAATTTTTCGGTATTGAGGGTGCCAGAAAATGTATGAACATACATAAAATAACTTAAATTGTGTACAATTAAAAGTTTCGAGTAATCGCTCTCAGTCTAAAGAATGTGAATATGGCTGTGTAATCTTCTAAACTTCTCTCGCACAACCGCCATTAATTTCATATACATGTTCACCCAGATGAAATTGTGCGAACAAGCGAAAAGAAACGGAAAGGAGTTTGATTCGAAACATAAACCAGTGATGCCAACTGCGTATAATTCATTTAATACATTTTACATATCAAACTTTTCTAATATGACATCTATGTAGTTGTCAGTAATTAACAATATCTGTAAATTTTTATATTCTTGAGTTGTACAATATCTATCAATGAAAACTCTAAGATTACCTGTTGTGATTTAAAAGCAAATTAAAAAACGCTATTTATATTGTAATCAGGCAACAACTTGACTGCTTATCCATCGTACTGTTTCCTCTGTTTCATTCGTTAAACCGCCATTTTCAATTTTCAAGAAGTGCAGTTATATTTAGTAAGTGCGGAGTTTTATTGAATTTTCAACAATTTCGGATAGTGAGTAGTGTAAGTGTTTTTAATATGTAAATTAAGTGTAATAGTGTTCATGTGTTAAAATAAAAAAAGTAATAAAATATAGTGAAAGTTAGTTAAGTGTTGTATTCAACGAAATTTCTTGTTGCCGTTGGAAGCGAAATCGGAGTTTGAGGTAAGTTTGTCTGTAAAATGCTGAAATCAAAAGTTATTTTTTATTTATATGACCGATTTGATGAATACTTGTGTTATTTAAGAGTAAATAGTAGTATTATTGCCTTCCATCTAGGGACAAAAATACCGAATTCTCTTAAATAATACAAAAACCAATAACGATTATCCTCCACAGTTGTACATTTCATTACATATATTTGCCATCTTTAAATTTTGAAATCGTTCAAAATACTATAGGAGGAAGACTGGATGAATGACTTGCCTCCATTTAGGTTAGGCATGTAAATTTAGCTGAATACCCACATTGAGCTATTATATTTAATTCCTGGTTCTACTTCTTTCATATGTAAGACCATAGTAGTTATAAATACATATTTCTCTGTCCGTTTAACCATAGAGATAATTACCTAAAAGAAAAACATTTCTGAACCGAAGAAAATTGTAAAACTATAATTTATACCCCCTTCCAATAAAATTTGTAAATTGTGCACACTCAGCTGAATTGTTTCGCTTTATTGTTTGTTTGTATTTCGTTATCCATACTGATTCATTTTCTATTTTTAAAGAGTAGGTTAATAATTAAATATTCTTTAATTATATAATAATAATGATTTACTATAATACGGTACAATAGGTGTTGTTATTATTTTCTTCTCAGCGTGTGGAAGAATATGTAGAATAAAAAATACTTAATTGCAATAAGAAAGAAATAATATTAAGTATTTTGTATTACAATAAAGAATAACAATAATATTGAGAAACAGTAATGAAATACATATTATAAATATAGGTATAATAAAAGGAATAGATGAAATCACAATTAAAACAGCATAAAAGTTATATTAGCTTTACTAAGACCGTTGGATAAGATTTTTTATTTTTTTTTTAAAGAAACCGATTTATATTTTCGATATTGTTTAGTCTTTAATGCAATTGAAAGGAATGATTTAATGTATGTTTGGCGTAAAGCATACTGAATGAATTTTTTTTTTGTTATTTTCGCATTTGTTAGCAAAGTTAAACGAATTTTAAAATAAGCAACACTTATTTTTTTACATACTTAAAGAGTTGCTTAAAAACTCTTTTTCTAAATACTATGTTTACTAATATTTCAATTACAAAATTATATTAATATATGTTACATGTAAAATAATAAATGACATAAAGAAGAGTAGAATAATTTTGCAAATATTAAAATATACATTCAATTTGCGTGTACATGTTAATATCGGTAGATAATACATTACAAAAGTTACGCGATCTATATTTTCTAATTGATTTCTACGCACCAATTTTATTGGACCTTCCGGGTACTGAAATAATTTTTTATTTTTGTTCATTGTAGAACTTGAAGAATTGCACTGTTATTTTGGGATTTTTTTCTTAACAACTGTTACGAGCTCGTTGCTCTTCATTGTCATTTATATGGTATATATATTTTTTATAACGCACATTTGCCAAAAGTACAAAAATGCTTAATATTGTGTTCCACGCTTCCTTTGTTGGTTTTTTTTTGTTTTTTTGAATAACTACGACAAGCATATTAAATATATATAAACACGTTTAAACTTGAATGTGTCAGACACAAATTCAAATTTCAAAGATTTTCAGTGTCATACACGGTTTTTTGTTGTTTTTATTGTTAGCAACTTTGGCTGCTAGTGCATTACATCACCTTACTTTTAATTCGAAATTAGCTTAAACCCTACATATTTATTTGCCGTTATTAATTGGATTTGTATTCACAATTACATTCGCATTAACGGGCACTAACTCAGGCACCGATGAATGATTACTACTTTGACTTATGTTGCGCGTGTGCTTGTCGCTGTCTTCATTGACACTATTCGAATTTGAATATTGTGTTTGCTGTTGCTGCAGTGGTTGTTGTGGCGCTTGTACTTGTGATGTGGGCTCCGGAAAGACGGGCGGTACAGTATTGGCTGTCGAAATAACAGGTGTTTGTACCATCGGTGTGGGTGGTGAACGACCTATTTGATGTGGCGAACCCGACATTTGCATGTGATATCTGTGCATTTGTGGTAGGAGTTTAGTATGTTTAAACCCAGTAGAAAATTTGATCAATATTTACCTATAAATATTTTCTGTGCTTTCGACGACACCTTGTGTTAAATTTAGACTGCGACCTTTGATACCGCCAGCATCTTTTGGTGGTGGTGACCACCAATTAAACACACGTCCTACCACTGGTACATGCCTCAATATGCCTTCTTGCCACATTTTCTCCTCGGTTTCGCGCATCAAATCGGCAGTGGCAGCCTCGATGCCCTAAATAGTAAAATAATTGATATTACTAAATACTTTGCAAAAAAAAAATATGAATATTTAATACAATAACAAATATTTTAGTGAGAAAGAATTAAAACAAAAAAAAAAACTTATTATTTTTAGTAAGTAGTAAACTAAAACAATGGAAATAGATAACAAAATAATAATTTAAAAATAAAATAAAAAGCGTCAAAAGTTTCACAAAAATGCATACGCACCTTCTTTACAATTTCCGACATTGTATCCAATACTCTAGAATTCTCCTGTACACTCTGACCCACCGAAACTACTAAATCCAACAGCTCCTCCACCTCCGTTTCATGCGTAACCATACCGAAGCGCACACAAATCAGCCCATCTGCGCTCTCGCCCAGCGAGAAGGCATTATCAGTCGATTTCAATGCTTCCACGAGATCGGCATTTAGCTTATTTAATTCAGTTTTGGCTTGATCTGTGAGTATAGATTCCCAACCCTCGGGTACAAAACGTACCCCACCCATACCGGCCCACTCAGGCAAATCGACTAAACGCAACACATCGCTCTTCTCAACCCATTCGATAAATGTCGCTTTATGTTTTATGGTTGCACGTAAAATATCAACATTGCCTTCGAGATAATGTGCGAAACCCTCTAAATTCTCCGAAGTAGGTGGCTGCTGACCCAATCCCAATTCCAATGGGCAATAACGTACGCATGTGCCTTGCGTAGGATGTTCGATTATTTCGAAATCGAACTGTAATGATAAATAAAGCTGTATGTATTAATAAAAATCAAAATAGAATTAAATTTGCTCACCATTGGACAATCACGTTGCATTAATTGCCCTAACCACGAATTCAAGCGATCAAAGTACGTGGCATTGTCAACCTTCTCCAACGCCTTTTCCCTGCTCTCTAATGTATTCAAATGTTCATTATCGGTTTTGCCCACTGTCGCTATAGATGTACTGCCATCAAATTGAAATACAACTACAGGTGCAACGGTCTCGAAAAGCAACTGTTTGTGGTGTTGTTAAAAATAATTAAATTTTGTATGAACTTGGAAAAGTAATATGTTGCTGATAAAATACTTACATTAGCGTCTAGAGGCTTATTGATGACATCGTTAAGTGTAGTGCCTGATTGACCGCCCGGAGCACGACTCTAGAAAACGGAAATATATATTAGAGCAATACATTTTAATGATTTAAAGTACAGTAAATAATGTTTTTCTATTAAGGTAAATTTGCTTTAGTTTGTTGTCGGTTTTTTGTTCAAACCATATACCGATCATAAATAAAACAAGAAAAAAACGTTAACTCGGTTGCAACGAACGTATAATACCCATCACAATTAAAGTTTCCATAGAAGAACTTCATGGTATGGCAGCGATACGCTATAGTAGTCCGAACTAAGGGGCCGTCCATAAATTACGTCATCGATTTTTTCAGATTTTAGACCCCCCCACTCCCCTATAATCATCCTATCGTCATTTCTTAAAGACACCGTCTTTACCGACTTTGACTTTACCGTCATCCTCAGACCAAAAAAAAAAACAGAACAATTGCTTTGCGATAGCAGCTAGCAACATTTTTGGTTTAACCCAAAAACAATTGCTTTAT